ATTCACAAAGTAAATTGTTAATGAATTTCTGTTTTCCCGATCAACAAAAAGTATACGGCGGTTGTGACCGTTGACTGGGGATGTTTACTCCTCTATGGCACCTGTCTCCACATTTGATGTTTTAGAGGTCCGTACTTGCTCTGCTCCAGATGGGCATTGTTTCTTATCAGTATCAGTGACTTTTAATTATCATTACTGTTCGTTGATTTTACATCATGTTTTTTTTTAAAAACTGCTTTTTAAAGAAAGATGGACGAACAAGGATTGCGCAATGCCTATGTCTTCAAATGTATATATAAATATCAAATTCATTTTGTTAATTTTGCATTTAGAGGCGTTCTCAAATGAAGTATATGGAGATTAAGAACAGCATTCAAGCTGAAAAGACCATTAAACAATACAAAATAGGAGCAGAGCAAACACGGACCTCCAAAACATCAGAGGTGGGATCAGGTACCATGGAGGAGGGGGCACCCCCTGCCGACCGGTCACACCTGTCTTGTGCTCCTTGTCATGATCGGGAAATAACGGAATAATCCGTCGTCAATTCAGTGTGTAAATAATGGACTAACAATAAGTATGAAAAACGTCAGTCAGCATTTGACTCAATGATAAATTGTATTTGCTGACAAGGTCATTGTATCGACCATAAAACTTATGAAATGATGACTTTAAACGAGACTGCTGATATTCTCGTTTCATCAACTTGCTTGTCAATAATTTACCTCTTTTAAGAAATTTTTCGTACGTAGAGCATGCACTTGTGTATCGAATCAACTGAGATATATAAACTCCGTATGCAGGTGATGAAGGTATATTAATTGTTGCATAAGAAAGGGAAGTTGGCGATAGAAAAATTAAAGTTATCACGTTTATCATAGAGCTTGGTCGTTAGATTACCATTAAATTTACGCCATTGTCAAGTAAAATATCAAATTGTGAAACAGATGTGTCAGAAACTGTGGTATCTTTTATCTCAAGCTCACGGGGATATATCTACCAACATGTAAATGGACATAACCATTTTTAATTGACAATACGTCGTCGATATATCTAAATGTCAAGTTAAAGGCCAAGTTGACGATTGTAAAGTTAAAGTCACGTTAATCATAGAGCTTGATTGTTAGATTACCATGAACTTCTTTTTCAAGTAAAATATCCAAACATAAAACAGATATGACAGACTCTGTGGTATCTTTTGTCTCAAGCTCACCAGGATACATGTATATCATATCGACGTGAGAATGGATAACCATTGTTAATTGACAATGCGTCGTCGATATATCTAAATGTCGAGTTGAAGGCCACAGCAAGTGTTTTCTTCTTTTCACGCATAAGATTTTGCACAAATTCTGCTTCATATGAATATAGAAATAGGTCTGCTAATAACGGAGGGTAATTAGTACCCATGAGAATTTCAAAAGATTGTTGGAAAACCTTGGACCCGTTTGTCAATCAGAAACTCAAGCATCTTTTTGATGTCAACCTCAGAGTACTTGTGTGTACAATCAGCATGTGTTTTAACTAAATAATTTTTCAAATGACTAATGACAAAGTTATTAAATTTACGAGTTCATTTTGTATTGAAAAAGCAGCTGTCGATGATATCAAAGAGCCTGGACTTTAATTTATCGTGGGGAATGGATGTGTATAAAGTTGAAAATATAAAAGTTTTAAGATGTTGATTTTTGTAAAATCTTGTGATTTTAAATTGTCCAAAAGTTCCTTGGAGTTTTTAAGCATCCACATCTAATTTAAACCACTTCTTGAATATATAGTTGCACAGTACTCTTGAAGTCTTTCCTTCACTACTGATAAATATCTTATTTAGGAGTATAGAAAGACTCTGAGGCTTGGTTGAACGTTTACTGGAACCCGAAATAATGTATTGAAATGTATGGAATTAATATTTTAAACCTTCTTGCTAAAAATTCTGAGAAAAAAATATTTTCCGGTAATACATGGCAACTAATTTTTGCCTGATTTCTTATTTTAGTTAAGGGTATCAAAGATTTTTCAAAATAATCGATATTTTGATATCAGAAAATGATTGTTTGATATCAGGAAATATCAGAAATAAGATTAGATTTTCTGATATCAGAAAATTGAATTTTTGATGTCAATAAATCATTTTCTGATATCTTTCTGAAAGGGACGTCACTAAGAGATAGTACTGTGTTGAGAAGTCAATTTGTTCGTGCTTTTTAGAAGTTTTCTCTTCAGTTTGTTTTTCTTTCAAATTACGGGTTCCGTTTATGCTTCAATAAATAATAATTGAATACGCGCAAGTGTTGCCTTCCAGAGTTGTCCTGTTAAGGAAAGATGTTGCAGAAAGAATAGGCAAACCATTGTTCAACCTTTGTAGGAAGGGAAACTCTGATTTAAAAAAAAGTTTCGGCACGATTTTTGATATCCTTATACATGTACATGGATACCGTCATTTATTACTCTGCTCAATAAATTCAGACCCGTTGTATCCTTTTTCAGCTGATTTCTATACATGTATCTATTATTTCATGTAACATATCAATATTAAGGCGTGAGAAGCCCTGTGTAATAAAATAGAAATTAACAGATTAATCCGCTGTATATTTATTCTTAACGATAAAATAACTAAAATTATTGGATATACCAGCAGGTTTCCAATAAAAAAAAATTATTTGTGCTTATTTATAAATATAGTCAGAAATGTTGTAATTATCCTATTATTGAACTTTGAAACATTGATTTATATTATTCTCCAACATTTTGACTTTTGTCCCATTATTTTGTCCTTAAAATGAATAATCACCAATCCTATTAATAAAGAAAAACAGAAAATCCATAAATAAAACAAATTATCGGCCGCAAAAATATTTAAGAACACTTTTATGTTCGATAGAGATGTCCAAAATGACATTCGGCGAACATAAAGAAAAATTAAGGGATAACAATCGCTGTCTTTTTCTTTGTTTCTGTCAACTTCAAATAGATATATACGAAAAGCAGGGTCGATATTGAAGGATTTCCAACTCTGTGTGATGACTTCCGGCTTAGAACAATTACAAGGCTGTGCGATGCGAGCGCCGCCATTAACTTCCGCTTCTATGCCAAAAAGACAATTATCACCTCATAAAATATCTTTAACATTTTGACTTTCGGGATGGAAAAAACAGAATTCTGATTTATTTTTTTAAATAAATTCCCGCTTAATTTCTTTTTATTTTATTGAGTCAGTTTCCACAGGTCCATGGTAAATTTTAATTTGCGAAACGTAGCAATAGTGACGCATATTACTTTCGTGGAAATCAAAAATTAAATTATAAATTTATGATACTGGATAAGTGGATAAAGTTCAATATGGATAGAAAGATTAATTTTATCAAAATAACAAACTGACATAAAGGAGGTAATGATGGCCTGTGATATACTCGATGGTACGGGGTACGACCTGATAACTACTGAACGAATTGTCATTAGGCGCCAATCTACCGGTACATGCACTCCCGCGTGCCAAACCACTCTGCATCGTTACAAAATGGTGCTACTATTACAATACTAGATGGATTTGATTAATGGTCGTTATATCAGAAATGCGTCGATTAGCTATTTATTGTTTATTAATATCGCTTTGTCCGTGCCAGAGCAGAGACTACAATGCTTTCAGATTGCATACAATGTCAAAGAATTCTACAATTTCAGCAAGGAACTTGAAATTATTCACAGCGTTGCAAACGCAAAAAAAAAAAAAAAAAAAAAAAAAGTCACCAATTCTACACATTTTGCAAATCCATATGGAATTATTTTTATCTTCTTCCGTAACTATCCTGCGTTTCATTTGTTTTAGAAATTAACCTCGGGTTTCTGCCAGAAATAGCAGAATCACTTTTTATTCAAAATCCTTTACGAGGCGAAAAAATATCAAATGTGGGAAAAAAATGAATTGTTCTAACTGAAGTTCAGTTTGAATGTTTTCTTTTTCAAGAAAATTTACAAACCACAAGGCAGGTACCCGTTTAATGTAGTCGCTGAGCATTGTTGAAGTAAAATTAGACTTGTTTGTATCTCAGGTGGACTACCAATTTTTAATTTCAATGATTAACAGTCAACAATTTTATGTTCTCCTTTGGACATTTTAAGTCCAGGAATAGTCAGATTTGACAAAATATAAAAAGCTGTATCTAGAGTTATGTACTTTTTCTCTTGTAAAAAATATTTTTGCGGCCTTTTTGTTTCAGCCTTTTTAGATATAATGTACATATGTATATATTTAAAAATTCATATTCTGTATCTATTTCCCAACATGTACATGTTTATTGCTAAAAAGATTGATATACATGTAATACTTGATTGATCAAACTCCATTATTGAGCAAACAGCCGAGTATCTGACACATCAGTGTGTAATATTGAAATAAAAAATAGTGATTAAACTCCCGAAACCAATCGCCTTCCCTAAACCAAGTATTTGTCGAGGAGATATTGAAGTCCGACATGATAAACCGAGCAATAAATGAATTCCATTTGGAATAAATAGGTCCTTAAGGATACACAGAATGGCTGTACAACCATGTAAATCAAATAACTAGCACCTCTCTGTGAAAAAGTCCAGGGTCTGGTCTATATACCGGGTTCTCGACTTGTCTAAAGAGTTAATCTCCTTCTGTGGAAATCAAACAACTCTCAAAGTGGAGACGAACAAGGGTTGCATGTTAGGGTCACGAATGTGCCGTAAGAAAAACGATCACTGCAGATAACTGTGATAAAAAAGTTCATCCAACACGCGAGGTTTATGTATGAATCCATTATAGAGGATGCATTAGGGGTCAGTCCTGACCATGCTTATGTGTCGCTCTCACATCTGATGGAAGCAGGAGCCCGCGAGTCAACAGCATCTGATTTGGTTAATTATTTTGGTTAATAATCCATGAAATAGTATGAGATGTACAAGTGAGATATGATTTGATATCACCACGACTCAGTAATGAAGGCAGTTTAAAGTTAATGTCCGAAGTCTTTAAACAATCACTGCTTCTGTCCGATTGTCACCATGTCCGGGTAACCGTATTACGATATCTGCAGGATTATCAAAGGATACACTTGTAAAGGTAGGAGGAACTTCAAATCCTAAATTTAAAAAAAAACCTTTAAAAGGAAGTATAAGACAGAAATAATATTGAGAAATAATAGAGAAACGAATTTTACAGATTTTCTCAGAAAGAGAAATAATAGTTTTAATATATCACAACGATTAATAATGATCATGTTGTGAAATTTATATCTATTTTTGATGAATTGGAATATAACACTCAATATTTCCTGTGGATTTTATTGATATTATTAAAAAAAAAACGGATTATTGGACAATATAATATTCATTAGATTTCAGAAAATTTGGACAATGTAAGATTCATTAGATTTCAGAAAATTTGGACAATATAAGATTCATTAGAATTCAGAAATCGTGTTTAATAAATTTCCAGATTTGCAATTCTTTAACCTAGTCTTGTAACCTATAACTTATAAAAGACAAGAATGAAGAGGCGTTTCTTTTTTTCTTTTTGTCTTGGCAACTTTTTTCTATGTATGATGTGCATATTACCTACGATTGTAAGATATTTGCAAAATGCTCTTTTAAGATCTATCTTTTAATTCAAAGTCTGTATTGTGGAAAAAAGAAGTTTTAAGATATGAATGAGGTTAGAGTTACTTTGCTCTGTTAAATATAATAATTATATTCAGATTCCGGTAGATCGGTAGATACAGATATGCTGATACTAAGCAGAAACAAGACGTGTTTGTGATAAAAGAAAAATCAAAAAGCTAATAGGTAACAGTCAAGGTCACAAGGTCATTGACCTTGGTGTCATTTGAAAGACCTTGATCAGTGGAGTATGTACACCAAATATGAAGTCTCTATCTTTTATGGTTCAAAAGTTATGGTGAAAGGTGATGGTATTTTTAGCATATAGGTCACAGTCAAGGTCACCAGGTCATTGACCTTGGTTTCATTTGAAAGAACTTTATTAGTGTAGTATGCTTTTATGAAGTCTCTATCTTTTATGATTCAAAAGTTATGGCGAAGGTTAAAGTTTGCAGAAGAAAAGCTATTTTTAGCATATAGGTCACATTCAAGGTCACAAGGTCATTAATATTGGGGTCATTTGAAAGCACCCAATTAGTGAATATATACCAAATATGAAGTTATTTCATGGTTCAAAAGTTATGGCGAAGGTTAAACTTTGGGGACAAACAAACAAACAAACAAACAAACAAACAACAAACAAACAGACAGACAGACAGACAGACAGACAGACAGACAGGACAAAAACAATATACGCCTCGGATCTATCGATCCGGGCGCATAAAAATGAGGATATAAATTGTACCTTCGGTCAAACAAAATATAGTTATTTTTAATTTAAATACTTCGACTTCCACTCTTTAAAACACTATGACAAAGCACTGAGAAACTCTATAATTATTTCACATTCAGATGCTTTAGGTGTCTGAGAACAAATTGAACGGTCTAACTTAACTTAGAAATCTGAGTCCCTTTATAATGGAAAATAAATATTGTTTCTTAATATATATCTCAGATTTACTATACTTTAACAAATGGTGTAACGACTAGCGTTCGCATGTATGAAATTTTTAATATCATTTAATAGCATCTAATAGCATGGGATTGCTTACAAATATATTCTGTTTGGCGTATACATGTAATCATGTCTGAAAAGAATGATAAAAACTTTATCAATACATGTAATTTCAAACTCTACCATTGGTTTCACAGGAACGCTACATTAAATATTTTATTGCTCTAATGACCCACATATTAGAAATTACTTACATGGTTGAATGAAATTAGAAAAAGCTGAAAACGAAATGAAGCAATTCTTATCGGAGTAGACAGTTTAGCGTTATGTCTTAAGGATGCTGGGAAACAAATAGAAAAATCATGTCTCAATTTATAACCTTCCATGTTTATGCGAAGAAACACGTGCAAAAATATCAGAACAAGTGGGGTGCAATAATTGTTTTAGATATATGCACTGTGTTTTTACTCACTTAAGCCTGTCAGCGATGGTGGAGTTGGAAACAGCTCAGTATGTGTGTACCCAAAGATCTCCCGTATTTCTCTATATTCTTTTAAAGACGCCGTTATAGCAGTCAGGGAGAATACAGAGACCGCACGATACTAAGACTATTGTTTAATAATTTTCTTTTACGACTATTCCTCTGTAAACTGTTCTTGTAAGACCATACTTTATTTTAACATTATTTTAAGACAATACTTTGTAAACCGTTGTTGTAAGAAATGTTTTTGATAGACTTGTTTTTTTCTCCAATCCCCGTTCATTTAAAAAATATTTTTATTTATAAATGTCCGAATTTAGACTAAAGTAATTGAGTCATTATTTTTTTATCCCTGCGTATTTAAAGAAAAATATTTAGTTTCATTTTTCAAGTTTTATTTTAATGATTCATGTTTCAAAATATTTCAAAATCACGTTTTATTTTCAGGTCTGCTTCCTCAAATCAAATTAAGAATAAATTCATGGTCTTATCTTGATATTTTCATCTACAAAAAGTTATAATGAATAATATTTTAATTTAAAACTTATTTCTGAATCCTTTTAAAGATCTTAATATTGGCGACAAGCACATTTGTAGGGATTACATTTGTAAGACATTAATCAATTTTATGTGAGAGCTTTTATCCCATACAGAAGTAGGTTTCAAAGAATTGTACATATGTAATGTGCTCTGTTACAACAACAAAGAAACGTGTACTTGTTTTCAGAGGAAACAATGTTTTTTCCCCAAATCTATTTTCATTGGACGTCCTGCTTCTCTTTAACAGGTGAAGGCCCAACTGGGACAATCTGGACATGAGCGGAAGTGCCAAACTTGCTGCACCGTCGAAATAAAAGTACTGCACGTAAAAAACAGATCGAAAAGATATCAGCACTTCACAAGAAAAACGCACCATCACCGATAAAAACAACATTAAGGACCTCTGTTTGATTGACAACTGATCGACTCTCTATTGTGAAGCGATCGATCGTTATAGTATGAATATCAGTGACAGTGAAAACTGGTCCCATATACACGGGGCAGTGACAGATATCATCCCGGGGGAGAGGGGGACCATGTCCTCCCAAAATCTGACAGACGAGGAGTACCTCCTGAAAATGATGGGACCCAAGAGGAAGGACATGTTGTCCGTGGTCTGTCTGTTGGTCATCTACAGCTTCATCTTCGTGACGGGCATTGTGGGAAATGTGTGCACGGCTATCGTTATTGTCCGGAATCGCCACATGCAGACCAGCACGGATTATTACCTCTGTAGTCTGGCCATCTCCGACATTCTCATCTTAGTCTCCTGTAAGTATACCTAAAATACAGGTTTTATATTCATATCGACGGGTATGAAGATTTTAAATATAATTGTTAAAAAACAGGAGTTATTGTAAATTTAAGAAAGAAAGAAAGGAAAAAAAAATTTCATGATATTAATTTTTTTTATCGTGATCAAGAACTTCAGAAACGGGGGTCGCAGGCTTTATGAAAACAAGAAAAAGGTGTGAACTTCAAATCGAATAGAGAAACAGGATACTAAGTATCAATTCACAGTATTACATGTGTATACTGTTAGATCATGTCCGTGTAGTCAGTTATATCGAATATTTAATATCTTCAACATTAAGAATAGAAATATTGCACATATTTTATGTCATTTTGATATTCAATGTAACTAATAATTAAAAATAGTATCAATGAAACAGAATTAAAATATGATATCCTAATATGCTAAATAAACGACGTACCGTCATTTCCCCCAAACTAGCGAGGATTTACGATCGCATGTAACTAGATTATTATGATATTACTTTTACGCTTGTCATACATGTGAAGGATTAATTCAGAACAAAAACAGAGCGATAAAGATTTCATGTCCACTTAACTTTACGAGAATCATGGTCACTCAATAGCGCCATTTCCATGCAAATATTCCCCATTTGAGCGTTACATCAATTATGATCGTAAAACCGATTATCGGTGGCGCGTCACCAAAGAGGTTGAAAAAGCTACATTAGATTTCATAGTGTTGGACTTAATTTACATCGACTCATCATACAAGAAAATCAGAGCTGATCTTGATTGCTCTGGATGCACGAAAGAAGTACTCGACTTCATCAAAATCCGATCGAAGGAAAGCGCGCCAAAGGAAATTACTTAGACGGCAACAGACAAACTACTTAATTACGCCTAATGAGGGTAAATAGGACCGCATCGGACTCGTTTAATATTCAATATTTGTTCCTGAAAGTTATTTGTGTAGCCAGCAAAGGGTTGTTGTCCGAAATTCAAAATAAACTATAATTAGAAATATTATGCAATGAGAAGCATGCAGGAAGCTTCGGAAGCCCATCATATATAAACACCGCGCTCCGGGGTGCAATGACTCGACTCGCGAAGTATGAAAATGTGGTGGAAATTTATAGTTAGTACATTTATATTTGACATCTAATTAAGATGATAGCCGATCTGGTATTTAAAATTGTTAGGAGGAAGAAATCAAGCGAGAATTGGTGTATGCCCCAAACGACATATAATTAGCAGAATACCTCGTGGTGCTTTGCCTTGTTGTCTCTTGTGAATTGTACATTAAAGCAGCTTCAAAAACAACTATTTTAAAAATAGGCTATACTTCTACAAGTTCAAGAAAGAAATGACTTCATTGCCCTTGAAAAAGGTAACAAAGATGTTACACTAAATTGTGCATCAAAATCGTGTCATGGGAAGATGTCACTTTGGCCTGTTCCATCAAAAAGAGCGAGCAATTACACGACCAAACTGTCCTAATTGTCTCCGTGTTGTAGAAGAATCAATATTTATCAAATAACCATTTACTGCACTTTAAGATGTTCAAAACACTTGTCGATAATCATTTTCACTGATCTAATCGGTAATGAAATTTTAATTATGATTTTTAATGTAGGTCACTCGTCAGCTCACAGCTTTTTGGAAAAGTTCACGCAGGACCTCTTACTTCAAAACTATTTATCAAAATTCAATTTTTATAACATTTTTAATTTCAACAATGTTAATGTTTTATCAATCAACAAAAAACTGTTCAAAAAGCTACAAAGAAGCAAGATTTGTGAGGGACTATTTTTTGTGATGGAAGGATATTTAGCAGATAATTCTGCAAATCTGCACATTTATTAAATTTAATATCTTGGACTTTTAGCCTCACATACTTTTACTAGGAGAATATTTTCCATTATGATATTGCTAGGAATATTTGATATAGGTCTTAATTTATATTTTTAGAACAAGTTGTACACCTTCCTTCAACAAACTTTGCCAAAAAATGAAGATATGTCAAATAAGTCAATATAAAATTAACACCATTTTTAGCCTGAAAATCACATATTTTGACCAATATTTCAAAATTAACATCACTGACCGCAACTTTTTCTTTCATTATTTTAAAGTACTCGATACTTTTGACTGATCAGCACTTCAGTCGTAAAAAGTTTGATTTAAGAAAATGTTTTATTGCCTATTTAGTTTTTTAATACCCCAAATTATGTTACTTTTTAGTGCAAAAAGGTCACTCAATAATTTACGCGCATTAATTTGCAAGATTTTTTTTCAATGATAAATATAATTCAAAATATTTTACGTAAAATAAGATTATTTTTTGCCGTGGTTACATCTGATAAAATATAATAGAGGTTTTAGTAAATTACCAGAGTTAAAATTTAAGTGCAAAAAGGTCACCTTCATTATACCGTAGATCAGTAAGATGAACACTGTCCCCCTATTTTCTCTGTGATTTTGAGTCACTCTATATGAGTTATTATCCAAAATATACTTCTCAATAAATCTTGATTTAACAAATTTCACGAGTGACATACCTTAAGTTTAACGAAAAAGACCAATGACCTTTGAACTGCATTTTAAAAAAGGTGTTTAATGATAGCATTAATATTTAAAAGAGGAAATGTATTTCGGTATTGTGCCTGCATTTAGGTGTTATCTCTATAAAATGAATGTGACAATAACAAGCAGAGGTTATGGCCAAAAGTCCATTAATTTTGTACAGGTGCCATGTAGAAGGAAGCAACTCCTAGTTGTCGACGGTCAGATCCGCTCTGTGTTCCTTGTCATGATCAAATAAATGGGGACATCTAATAATTACGATCCACTTACGATTTAGAGTAAATATAATGCATATCTGAAATCATAACTATCATCTTTAAAATTTAAAGTGTCCTGTTAGAAATTTTGCGTTACCATTACTCCATGGGTCAAAATACCCGTTGAAAATAACGTCATTTTCTCATACGCACAAGATAAAATATGGTAAAAGGACGGATACTGCGTTACTTTTCTTACACTTTGCATACATTAACTACTACTCTGATTCATTTAGCAACATTGCAATTAACTCAAAGAAAAATATAAATGTTGTAGGGCCCAATAATATGATAAAAAAAATATGAATACTATTCTGCAAAAAGGTTTTCCTAGCTTGTTTTTTGTGTCTGTTTTGATATCTGCTATGAACAGATACACCGTTACACTTTAGTTAACATTAAAAACGCAATATATTGCATGTTGAGATTATTCAATATATATCTGGCATATCTTTGATGCAAAAACGATCAAAGAATGAATCTCACAGAAACCAGAATTCGGTAAAATTAGTCACTCGGCTGATGAAAACAGTGGTTGTTTTAATAGTCCCACATGACGTCTTATTAGCGCCCTTTATAGCTGATCAAGTCGCACCAGATTCTATTCGTCTTAGAAGAAGCTGTAATTATAGAACAACATAGACTCAAGGTTACTATGGTAGACGCTGGGATTACAGAGGGATTGTGTATGGAAAACAGAAATACGACTTGGATATAATTAATGTTCATTATGCAATTTCTAACGGCATTCTTGGAGTAGTGGCGCAGAGGGCGTTATTCCTGAATCCTTAGGGGAGTTCTTTGTTCTTTCAGTAATGGCCATTTCATCCCAGAAACTTGGGTCAGATGCATACTATCGTAGCTACTTTTTCTTATTCTGAAATAATTAATAAGAAAATTACCCTATCATTAATATACATTGTACTTATTCTCTATTAAATCAGCATTCGTAATTTGAGCATGGTACTATAACCTATAAAACCAATCCGAGTTTATGAATTCTTGAAGCCTTTCTATTGCAATTGGACAATGTACCTGTCCCAAATATGGATGTTCACCGGTCAATATTTGTAACTAGATAATACGACAACTAAATGAGCATTTCTTTACCTACATCTTTACATTTTATTTACGACCTGTTGATGTCTGATTTTCATGACCTCTCAATCAGCAATACTTCATTAACCTGAGACGACCAAGTTGTTTGTAAATATGTTCACACGGCAAGTTATGTTCAACAGGCAGCAAAGCAGCTTGTTTGATGGTGTTTGTGTCTGAAGTTAAATCAGCACGTGTAATTCTGTAAATATGGATCCAACACTTGATTAACCAGCTGAGACAGTTATTCAGGGTGACTTTGATCATTTTGATCAACAGTAGGATTCATATATTTTAAGGATTAATTGAGACGTTTTGTACGTGTTGATTGTCAATTTAAGCATTAACTCGCAATAATTATTACCCCAAAGGTGATCCAGATATAAATGTTTTTATTTGATTTCAATATTTGAAAGGTCATCTCAATACTGAAAGAAAAACCTAGTGAATTTAACTAGTGTGTTTCGTAAAGCGTTGGTCATGATTAGTAAACTTTCAGTTTACTGGTTAAGATAGTGAGTTGTGGAGCGGGGGTCGTATAGATACCTAGATACATAGTGAAAGTTACTCATTAATTCCACATTTACTAATCTTATCTAGTAAATATACCAATATCTGGTAAAACTACTATTAAGGTAGTGATTGTATGGACAGTGAATCTACTAGTTTTCTTCTTGACATTAACTAGTTATTTTTTTACAGTGTAACAGAACATGTTATTTCTAATAAATGTTTTTATTACAATGCACGAAAAAGTGAAATATCATAAAATTAAAAAGTCGTTAATTCCGACCAATTTTTACGTTTATCTGAAGCAGACTTTATTCAAAATCTTATTTATAAGAAGGAGAAAACACTTATTGGGTGCTTCAACTCAACATTTAGATACTAGTATATCGACGTCGTATTACCTTCTCAATTAACAACTATAATAGATATTTTCCATTCATATGGCGAGACGACATATCCAAGCGAGTTTGAAAAAAAAATGTCATAGAGGCTGACACATATGTTTCATATTTGGATATTTTACTTGAAAAAGTAGTTATTGGTAATCTATCTACAAAGCTTTTGTAATGACATAACTTTTCAATGGCCTACTTCCCTTATTTATGCAGCAATATACTGTGAAATCACTAATTTCCGTATGGGTATAAATTCCATCGTTTTCTAGGTATGGAGAGAGTCAAGAATTTATGACCACCACGAAATGTAAAATTTCTTACAGACCATATTATGTACTACTTCAAAATTTTCCAACCACGAAATCAAATCCTCACAAACCAATATTTTTTTCTAAAACCTTGCAAACTTGACCCCACGAAAACATGTTATTTTACAGTACCCATCTGCTCAAAGAGTTTATATCTCAGTTTATTCGTGCACAAGAACATGCTCTACGTATGTACAATTTTCAGAATGAGGTTTTAGACAATAAGTTATTGACAAATAAATTGGAGAAACATGAAATATCAACAGTTTTGTTAAAAGTCATTATTTCGTAAGTTCTATGGTCGAAACAATAACTTAGTCAGCAAAAAAAATGTATCATTAAGCCAATGCTGACTAGCGTTTTACATACTAAATGTTCGGACATTATTTACACACAATATTATCTACAGAAATTGCTGGCATTTCGCAATCATGACAAGGAATACACGGCGGTGGTGAACTGTCGGCAGGGAATGCTCACTTTTCTATGGCACCTGATCTCACATCTAATGATTTGAAGGCCTGTTTGCTTTGTTCCTGATTTTACTGTTTGAATGGACTTTTGAATTTATGTGAAGTTTAAGAATCAAGTTTAGATACTGATAAGGTGGATACAGTTGCTTGAATGGTCGTCTTTTCCAGTTAACGTAATTGGGGAATTCCATCATTTGACTTTAAATAGTTTTAGGTAACATTTAGAAGTCTCTCTGGGACATGAGACTGATATCTGAATCGTCAAGAATTCTCTGTCAAGGCTATAGAAAGTAGGTTGGTGCCTTAGTTTCATGGTTTTAGGTAAATGACTTTCACACTTTAACACAGTATTCATCTTTTTTTTTCATTTGGTGTATGAAGTATTAATTCCTTAGCACTAAAACGGTGTCATAGTCGAAGATGACGTGGACTTTAGACTTGGGCTAAGCAACCTTAACAAATCGAATTACAACTAAGTTTGACATAAGAAGGTCTTCTGGGACAAATGTTCATTTGTCATTGTAAAGACAATTGAGAGGGGGAATTTATAGATGTAGGCTTTTTGGTTAATGTCATTTAGAGCAAAAACCATCAGTCACCTTTCTTAATGAAGTATTCTAAGTATTAATGTTCAAACACTATAGGTTGTCACAGTAAAAAAAAAATGATTGACCTATAATAAACTTAAAGATTAAGGACTTTGCCTACAGGTTTAATTAGGTATTATACCAAAGATTTTGAAGAATATTGACCAAGCCATACACATTCCTTCAAAGTGCGTTGATATTGTCGATATCAACGCACTTTGAAAAGAAATTCATTATTTTCAAAGTGTGTTATCTTTGTCCCAAATTTAACGCACTATGAAAAAAATTTTTCAAAGTGCGTTGTAACATACTTTTAAATAATCTTTATATATATATATATATATATATATATATATATATATATATATATATATATATATATATATATATATATATATATATATATATATATATATATATATATATATATATACAGTGGACCTTCAGATATCCGGACGCCAGATATCCGGATGCTTCAGTATCCGGTCGACTTTTCATCGGAATGGATTTTTAAAAAGTTATTTTGTCTTGTTTAACTGGTAATTCAGATATCCAGACACTTCACATATCCGGACAAATTGACTAGGAACCAAAGCGTCCAGATAAATGAGGGTCCACTGTATATATATATATATATATATATATATATATATATATATATATATATATATATATATATATATAAGTAGACAAAATAAGACGTTTAATTTTGCTAGAGGGTAACATAGGAACCTGCCTGATAGAAATATCTTGACAAATGTAGAACGAAAAAAGATCTTAATAAATAATATGGATCACAATGTTTACAGTGATCGTCTATTTTGATGTGACATCACTGCTTCAACCAACATGACAAATTTATTTCCAAAACAAATATCTCAAATACCAGAAGGTGTATGTGAACATTTCAATGTGATTATAATTAAGTTGAGGCACTGTATAATTTTACTATAATCCGCTATATCTCCTTTCCGGTCTTGTATTTAGATTTCTCAGGGGGATTCTTTAATGATATTGTCTTAATTTGGCTGTCAGCTTTTCTGGTTTGTTTTTCTGTTCTTAATTCTGTGTACGTTTCCTGTTCTTTATTTTGTGTGTGTATCATAACCATTATATAATAAAAAATCCACAGAGATTACTATAAACCAGCACCATAGAATTCTAAGTATTCGGTGAAGCTTACTTGTTCCTTACTAATGTTTCTCAATTCCTGTTTACAATGTTGTTTTTCAACAACATTTATTCCACTTTACCTAATTTTTTCTCGGACTGCACAAAACACTTACTTGTTTGTCGTATTTCCTGAACGTGCAATACGTACTTTTGCCTTGCTGTTATACCTTGTTTAGACATCGATTATGTATCAATTATAATGATTTCGTTCTCGCATGTGCTGCGAGAAGAAAGATTTTATCAGCCGGATCATAATACATTGAAGATTAAATTTGATCGACATTACTTGATAACACCTGAAGTATATATGAATAAAAGTGTACTTTTCTAATATTTGTATAGTTTGTATTTATGTACCGTTCAATGATTCACAACGTACTTCTATATTGTTCATTGATAAAGAAATTAATATAAAGAGAATAAAAAATAATGGAAAAAATGATAACATCAAATGAAAATGACCAATAATAATAATCGGAAAAAGTGACATTTGTTGCTCGAAGTCTACTTTGACTCTTGGTCAGTGACAGAGAGGAGATCAATAAAAAGCTCAGATATTAAATCTTATAATTACCTCTCGGTGGGCATTTCAATCCATCTCCTACTATGTTCCTAGCTACCAAATGCTTATAGTAACAAGTAGAGATAAACCTCATTAGTCCTGTACATTTGTAAATTGGACAAAGATCAGTGCAAAGACAGAGACCATCGAAAAAGAGAATGCTGGGATTGAATCTTTACGGGAGCATTCCCCGTCAATCGGTTACAACTGAAATAAGCACCTAACTGTTCGTCGATTTAAAAATTTCCTTTATCTCATTATATGTTTGTAAAATAGTTTTACGTCAGTTTTTTGAAAATCGGTGGATTGCTCAATAAGCAGGGAAATATCCTTTTATCTTGAAGATACCTTAATTATGTCAAACATTTTCATATTTGGTATTGCAGACCTATGTAATTTCAAAGCTGATTGCAAGACAATTTAAGAACAATGTACGCGTAACAAAAATGTCAATTTAGAGTCTATTAAATTCGACATATCTTTACAGGTTTACCTTTTGAGACGTATTCTATATGGCAGGCATATCCATTCAAATTTGGTGAGGTGTGTTGTATTGGGAAAGCATTATTAACGGAAATGACGTCATATGCATCAGTGTTGACGATCACAGCGTTCACAGTGGAACGATACATCGCCATCTGTCACCCTCTGATATCTCATAAAATCGCCGATCTAAGGCGATCCGTCTTGATTATCATTGGGATATGGACCAGTTCATTTCTGATTGCTCTACCCTATCCAATACATACACGGACTTTGTTTTACGCCCTTAGTCCTACGACGAAGAAACCCCTCCCAGAGTCCCTTGTGTGTAACATTCCACTTGAGTGGATTTCTGAAATGACCATTATGTTTCAAATATCAACATTCCTGTTTTTTATCGCTCCAATGACTGTTATTATTATTTTGTATGTTTTAATTGCGATAACTTTGCGAAGTACAGCATTAAACAGAGCAAATTCGGAAGAATCCACCGGTGGACACCATTCTTCACATTCCAGACGAGTTGTCCGGATGTTGGGTTAGTCACCCCTAATTATATTTGCTGTACATATTTGATGCTTCAGATTTTATAAACCTTTCTTGTTAGAAATGTTATGTTAGAAAGTTTTGAATCTCATTCTTCAGTGGCTGTAGTTGCTGCTTTCTTCTTCTGTTGGGCGCCATTCCACACACAGCGACTGTACACGATCTATCACAGAGATCTGTGGACGCCGTACGAACTGGAGGTCCAGAGCCACCTATTCTACATCTCAGGTCAGTAAGGACCATCTCTAAAATTGTCTTTGAATGAAACTCTGTTTTACTCAGTGTTATACATTTACATAGTGTTTTAAATACAAAATATTGGTATATTGTTCCTCCTTCACATTTTAATTAATAGAACAATTCTCTTTTAACTCTCTAAATCATTCTTTTCTTCTATAAATGTAAATGTGAAAAACAAAGGTTTCATCATGAAATACTTCCAATTAGAAAGAATCATACTAGTTAAAGGAAACATTTGAAGAAACGTCTTGACTATCTGTTACAGGTGTTCTGTATTTTGTTGGATCCACCGTGAATCCATTCCTGTATAACGTGATGTCAAAGCGATATCGGGAGGCGTTCAAAGAGACCCTGTGTTGTTGTGCAGGACACAGGAAATCCAAGTACCAGCGTAGTCTTGTGTATTATTACAACAACATGAAGAGCACGATTAGAAGTAATGTGTCACGTGATGACGGCGACAAACCAGGAGAACCCACCAGTCTTAACAACAGGAACTCGCTCTCTAGGAACCCCAGAACAGACTCAAACTATCCACTGAGGACTAAACTGTTGTCCAATAGTGCCAAAGCCCAGGGATCTCAACAGAATAGGAGTAAAATATGTCGAGATGGGACATACATAGACAATGAATATCACTCTGATAATGAGGATCTTAAGCTCCTGACATACCTACCGCTAAATAAAGCAGAGAACGTGGAAATGACGGAACAGACAAAATCTAACATATACACACAAAGATCAGCTTTGTAGGCGGAGACTTGGTTATGTTTTTGTTCCATTTTTAAACCAAATGTTTCTTCGGTTATTGTTATTCATTGATGCACTTGTTTTATCTATATTAAATATCTTTTGTGATACGTAAAATAACTTAAACATTTTTAAAATATTCAGAGTAGCACTCGATGAAACTGCACCATACAGTCAAATGAATAGTCACTGAAATGTGACCTAAGGGGGGAGCTCTTTCAGTCACTTGTTTGAGAACTTTCAGTTATTTTAAGGTACTCTGATCCTCAGGTTCTGAAATCAAGCATTGGCTAATTGAAAATACTCAAAATAATGTATTTAAAATAACGTGTTTTTACCAATAATAATTCTTCAAACTTTATCTTTTAAGTTAATCATATTATAAGGAGAAAATTACAAAGTTAATCTCAAATATTTTTGCAGGAATTGCGAAAAAACACCTGCTATGCATTTTCCAATTCAAGTTTGATCAATTAACACATTTTAAAATTAAAAATCATAGGTATCTAGGCTTTTGAAGAAATTCCACAATTTTTATACGTATAATGTACTTTAATATCTTTTGTTTACTTCAATCATTTTATAATGCAAAGTGTATAAAGATTCTCTTGTCATTGCAAAGCCCCATTAAGCACTTCTAATTTCATATCCTGTGAAAAAACATTGGTATCTATGGTTAGATTAAAATGAACATCAATTTCTTGATTTATGTAATTTTAAAATGCTGTTACGGGGTAAAAGTTTCAACTTTTAATTAGACCTTTCCGAGAACTTTGAAGAACCTTGAAGCACATTGAGAGGTATATAATGAAAATTGCTGCATGAAAAAATTAAATTTTCAAGCTACATTTTGAGACTTTTTGAAGTCGTCCTTCCTGGCTGAGGATCGGAGTCCCTTAATGGCAAACTGTATCCCGAATTGTCTTTTTCTACGTTCTTTGTTGATCTAAATCAATGCATGAAATAATCCAGCTTTAAGTAATTGATGATGAAATGATGGAATTGACAAGAGTTGGTTGTACTTGTACATGTAACCGTTATGCCTAGGTCCCATTTCCCGATCGGTGGCCGTAGACCGGTGGTAGTCGCTGGTAATCCGTGGTGTGAGCGATGCCCCAACATCGGTCCACATCGGTCTAGTAGTCCTTAAAGTATCAGTCACATTATCAAGCGATGGGTTATACAATGGGCAGCCAATGCGTTTTTGGATAAAAATGGCGTGGTTGCCTGTCGGACTTACATACGCCCAGCGATGCATTACTTGTCATAAAGCGATGTTCCAGGGTAATCGGCCGATATATATTACATCGTTCATACATTGGTGAACATCGTTTGTACGTCGGTCGACTATAGGCCAATGTTTCGGCGAACATTGACCAATGATCGGCCAATGTCTGTTGCCCACCACTCAACTCTCCAATGATCTTACATTCAACGGACACTTGACGATGCTCGGCCATACAACGGTCATTCCTTGAAAGATGTGTAAATGATTGGTTGCCGATGAGGAGCGATGTGGGGCATCGGTGGAGACATCGCTTAAGTATCAATCACATTATCCAGCGATGGGGTATACGAAGAGAAACCGATGCGTTTTTTTTTTATGAAAATGGCGTGGTTGCCGGCCGGGCACCACTAGTGATCGGAAGGTGACTGAGGTCATTTTGCGAATCGGTGGGGTCATCGGTAGGACATAATTCGTAGTTAAAATTCAGCGATGTCTCCAACGATGCCTCATATCGCTCCTCATCGGCAACCCATCATTAACACATCTTTAACGGATCGGCCGATGTATGGCTGAGCATCGTCCAATATCCGTTGAATCTGAGGTCATCGGGGGGTTGAGTGGTGTCCAACAGATAACGGCCGATCACCGGTCGATGTTCGACCAAACATTGGCCCGTAGTCGACCGATGTTCGAATGATGTTCACCAATGTATGAGCGATGTAATACACATCGGCCGATTATCCTGGAACATTGTTTTATGATTAGCAATGGTTCGCTGGGCCTTTGAAAGTCCGGCCGGCAACCACGACATTTTTATCATAAAAGGCATTGCTTGCCCATCGAATACCCATCGCTGGATAATGTGACTGATTCTGTAAGGACTACTAGGCCATTGTGGATCGATGTTAGGGCATCGTTAACATCACGGATTACCAACGATTACCACCGGTCTACGGCTACCGTGAAATGTGACCTAGTCATTATTTTTAACTACGAATTATCTTCTACCGATGACCCCACCGATTCGCAAAATGGCCTCAGTCACCGTCCGATTACTAGTGGTGTCCGGCCGGCAACCACGCCATTTTCATACTACGGTTTCTCATCGTATACCCCATCGCTGGATTATGTGACTGATACTTTACCAGCTAACTGGTAAGATAGTAGCCAAAGCTGTGGATACCCTGTGCAGATTTCTACAGAACACAAGCTCAGGAACTTGATTGGTACCAGTGGCACAGAAATTCTTGTCAAGTATTTTCCTTTTTTATTTTGGATCGTTTGCATCTAATTAGTCAGTTCCGTCAGTATTCAACATTCTGCTTTTTTTTGTAGAAAAGATGACGGATTGATAAGAAAGGATTTTAAAACTTGACCGTTTAAGGATCAGCCCTAAAATTTTAATATGGACAAAAATGATCGTGTTCGTCCAAGAGAGATTCGGTTATTTGTCGACAAATTGTTTGATAGTGTTATTTACACTTTTTTGGATGACAAGGAGGACAGGGGCCTTTAGGGTAACCTGAGTATAAAACAACACTAAATCTGTACTACCCGGAATATATAAAATGAAATCTGAAGATAAAGTGACAATTATGGAGATAACGAACAGTATTTAATTTCAAAAGTCCAATAAACTATACAACAAGACCAGAACAAACAGCAGAGGTGGGATCAGGTACCATGGAAGATTCATCATCCCTTGTCGATGATCGGAACTAACGGAAGAATCCGTCGACATGTTATTGTATGAATATTGACCTAATAATAAGTATTAAGGAGGCCAATCAACATTTGACCCAATGATCAATTGCGATTGCTGTCAAGGTCATTGTACCGACCATAGAACTTACGAAATGATTAATTTAAACTTTAAACGAGAATGCTAATATTTTTATAAAATCGACTTCTTTGTAGATAACGTATACCTTGTTTTAAAAACAATTCATAGGCAAAACATGCCCTTGCGTATCTAATCAATTGAGAGATATACTTCCAGAGTCCAGATGATAAGGGTAAATAGCTGCATATTAAGTTAGGGAAGTTGACGAAGTTAAAGTCATCAGGTTTATCATTAAGATAGATTACCGTTAACGTTTTTTTTTCCTAGTAAAATATCCAATTTTGAAACAGATATGTTAGACACTATGGTATCTTTCATTTCAAGTTCATCAGTATATATCGTATCGATATAGGGATTGGAATAAACACTGTGGTTAGACAATATGCATGTCGTCGATTACATCTACTTTAAAATGTCCAGATAAAGACAACAATAAGTGTTTTCTTCTTTTCAAGTTTAAGGTTTTGAATAAAACCTTTTTCATATGAATACAAAAACCATGGAAATTCAAATAGATTGTTGGAGGACCTAATCTCGAATAAAAACCACATAATGTTAATCACACAAGCAGCTTTTCAATATCAATTTCAACGAAATTGTTTGTACAATCAGAATGGGGTTTTTAATAGCAAAAATAGTTTTGCAAATGACAAGGCAGGTAAATGTACGAATGCAACAATAATATCAGCAGTCTCGTTAAACGTCGTCATTTCGTAATTTCTGTGTTCGTATTAAAATGGCCTTATCAGAAAATAAAAATTTTCATCAAGTCAAATGCTGGCTGACATTTTTCATACTAATTGTTAGGCCATTATATACAAATGAATTGACGACGGATTTTTCCTCTCTTTCTTGTCTGTGGAAATAAAACAACATATTTTTTTTTATTTCCTATAAATTTTGGCGTTTAATTCTCTTGTGATTTTATTTGAAAATGGAATTCTTTAAAGAACAACGCTATTGTCTCGGTAACAATATTTGAAAGCAAAGAGATGTTTCCATTACTGATTTAGGCTAATGTTTATGAAGCATTTCTTTAAATAATTTTGTCGGTGCTACCACGTCGTAGACATGATCAATGCAGAATGTTCTTTGTCATCAGTTTTGTTAGATACGTCATTTTCTATTCCTCCTACAAAATATAGCAAGAAAACAGTTTACGTCAAATAAACATTTTATGTATAACATGTTTACATGTAATACTGTCTATTTAATAAATGCGATTTGATCGATTCAGTTATATGCTTTATGTATCTCTTACCCCTGTGTCTGGCTTTTATATCCATGCTGGACATATCTACAGTAGATCTGTCTTCTCTACTTCTGGGGTAGCCTGTAGATTTATAATCTTGCTTTAAATTGATAGTCATTAGATACTTAACATTCTGGTGTTGCAATTATTAGATTTCTAAATCATGTCTGTCTAATATTAGAGACATCTTTTCTGTTTTTAAAGCAAGTTAGAATATTATCAGTCACGTTTAAAATCATCATTTTGTAGGTTCTATGGTCGATGGGTACAATGATACCTCGAATGAAATATATAGAGAAAACGAACGGTAATCAAGCTCAAAATACAAAAAAAAAAACAATACAAAATATAAGCGGAGCAAACATGGACCTCAAAAAACAGAGTTTGGATCAGATGCCATGGAGTAGTTAGCATACCCTCCCTGCCAAACGGTCACACCCACTGTGTCTGAAAAGTCCGCGAACAATTCAGTGTGTAAATAAGGGCCCAACAATAAGTATAAAAAAAGCCAGTCAACATTTGACTCAATGATAAATTTATTTGCTGACAGAGTCATTGTATCGACCATTGAACTTACGAAATGATGACTTTAAACAAGACTGCTCATTTTCTTGTTTCAGGAACTCCTTTCCTAATAATTTAGTTTTAAAAATTGTGTATACGTAGATTGATTGATTGTATATTGTTTAACGTCCCTCTCGAGAATTTTAGACTCATATGGATTCATAATGCTTCAAATTTTGACCTTTACTCGGCACTCAGGGTCATTGAGCAGTGAGCGATCTTTATCGTGCCAACGCCTGCCGCTGACACGGGGCCTCGGTTTTTAAGGTCTCATCCGAAGGACCCGCAACTCTCACTTCAGAGTGCCAAGCGCATAGCGAAGGAACAGTTGCTACCCAAACTGGGTCAGTGAAAGGTGTGTGTATGTAGAGCATGCTCTTGAGTATCGAATAAAATATATAAACACCGTATGCAAGTGATAAAGGTTTATTGCTGCATGAGAAAGGAAGTTGACGATTGAAAAATTAATCGTCATGTTTATCATGAAGCTTAAAAAATACTGTTCGTTATCTCCAAATATTTTACCCTCATTAAAAAGTTCATATTTTTTTTAATTTAATCGCTTGGATCAAGCAAAAAAAAAAATGGATCCATCAACATGAAACAAAATGTGAAACCACTGTAAATTTAAAATAGAGGTACTGTGAGTACCGAGTTCACTAAATGATCACCCTAAGCCCATGCCATTATAATGGCAAGGACCATATTTTGTTCTGGTTGATAAGAAATAAGTGTCGGATAAAAATAAGAGGTGCACAATAGCATTCTGTTAAAAGGAATCTCTGAAAGTATAACTAAATTTTAATTTGGATCAGATGCCATGGAGTAGTGAGCATCCCCTCCCTAATTCTATTTAATTGTAAAGGAGGAGTTGTGGATAAGAGATGAGTACCCTTTAATATTATAGAAGGAATAACAGTATCCATGTTTTTTTTCTATGGGTAGCCCGAAATATGCTTTCATCAAATATGCTTTCATCACATACGCCGTGTGCTCCTTGTCATGATCTGAAAGTAACAGAAAAATCCGTCAACAATTCAGTGTATAAATAAATAACTAATAATTAGTATGAAAAACATCAGTCAGCATTTGACTCAATGATAAATTGCATTTGCTGACAAGGTCATTGTATCGACCATAGAACTTACGAAATGATTTCTTTAAACGAGACTGCTGATATTCTTGTTTCATCAACTTGCTCGTCAAAAATTTACCTCGTTTTAGAAATTGTTCATACCTAGACCATGCTCTTGTGTATCAAATCAACTGAGATATATATATACTCCGTATGCAGGTGATAATTGATTGATTGATTGTATACTGTTTAACGTCCCTCTTCAGAATATTTCACTGGTATGAAGACGTCACTATTGCCGGTGAAGGGCTGCAAATTTAGGCCTATGCTCGGCACTTACGGCCTTTGAGCAGGGAGGGATCTTTATCGTGCCACATCTGCTGAGACACGGGGCCTCGGTTTATACGGTCTCATCCGAAGGAACGCCCCATTTAGTCGCCTTTTACGACAAGCAAGGGGGTACTGAGGACCTTTTCTAACCCGGATCCCCACGGGGCTGCAGGTGATGAAGGTATTTTTCTGCATAAGTAAGGGAAGTTGACGATAGAAAAGTTAGTCATCACGTCTATCATATAGCTTGGTTGTTAGATTAGACGTCGTTTTCAAGTAAAATATCCAAGTATGAAAGAGATGTAACAGACTCTATGGTATTTCTTATCTCAAGCTCACCAGGATATATCATATCGACGTAGGAATGGAAATTACCATTCTTAATTGACAATACCTTGTCGATATATCTAAATGTCGAGTTGAAGGCCACAGCAAGTGCTTTCTTCTTTTCACACATAAAATTTTGCACAAATTCTGCTTCATATGAATATGAAATAGGTATGCTAATAACCGAGCGCATTTAGTACTTACGGGAATTTCAATAGATTGATGGAATACCTAAAATGTAACAGACGGACAGACAGACGGACAACCCGATCACTTTATACACTCCCACTTTTCAGTCGGGGCATAATGAAGATTTTATTTTTATGGTTGTTGCAATAGGTTGAATTTATTTTCAGCAATAAGACAATATCAATTTCTTATTAGGCAATCCTTAAAATAATATTTGCTTGCCCTCTACCAACTCAGTGTAAAATGGTGAGTCGATAGGAAGGTGGAAAACCCTCCAGAACATTGTTGACAGGATAAGAGGAATAAAAAAAATCGTATTCAAGAATGAAATAAAAGTTTTGAGTTGGGTCCTTCAAGATAGTCAGCCGGGAGGGTGCAACCATTTTTTTTTTTTAAAGATGGTACTCCTTACAAAGAAAGTAATGAAAAAAACGCGTTTCAGAGAATCAAATGAAGTTGAACTCTATATTCTTGCAAATCAAATTTACGTACCTGTTAATGTACATTTATATCACAAGTATTTTTGCTTATTTTAATATGAGGTAAGGTGAAAAGTTTTTAACATATTATCAAAAATCTAAGAATACCACTGATACAGGTCGATGTGAAACAAGAATAAATTCGAATAAGAGAGGACATTGCACCTTAACCCAATCAAAGTGAATGTCCTCTATAAACATATTGTAAACCATACGATATGCTGACCTTTGGATGTTTTGGAGATCTTGTCTTTATATCCATCACAGCAAGTCCTTTTCCAGGCCTCCTGAACGTCCGCCTTCAGCAAGCATTGAAATACAAAGATGAATAACCCTTGTAGAGAGTTAAATATTGTAAACAGATATTGGAAAACTGGTACCCCTCCATTGAAGGTCAAAATACCAAACAGCCATGTCAGTCCCAACATGAACACTAAAGTTGCCGCCCTGCGCAGTCGCGATGATGTTTTCGTGGCTTTTATCTTGTTAAGATTTTTTGAGGCCGCTCCAGAAAGCCGATGAAGAACCAAGGCAAATATAATTAGATTTATAATCATAATTATGCCAACAGGTACAAGAAAGGCAGCGTAAAATGCTACTGGCTTCAACCAACATCTACAAGGTAACAAGGTAATTTAATCGTGACGTGTTTTCAAACAAAACTACATCATTATTGCATAGTAAAAGGTAAATTTTCTAAAATTGTCATATTTAATTTTACAAATTGTTGAGAAGTTCTACTTAAAAAAACATTTTTTTTCATTTTCTGTAGAAATATATATCTAAACAATAATGTAACTAAATTACCTGCATTTTTCATTGAGATTGATATAATTTGGTAAATACTTTAAGCTTTCAGATTTCTACTCCTTAATCAAATTATACTACACAGTGAACACATTCATTGATATATGAGCACGTGTTCTATTCTTCTGAACCACTTACATCCCTCCTCCCTGAGTACCATAGTTCTCCGTACTCACGCCTAGTGTAACAGCAACAATCACTAAAGGGGTACCTTAATAAAAAAAAGTTCTTCATAAAGAAAAAAAAACTATTATTCATACAAGAAAGAAAAATGTATAAATATACGGCTTTAAATCAGATTGATATGAGAGACATAGATTACCCCATCCGGCGGACGTTGTCTTCAAAATAAATCGTGAAATGTGAGTGTTAAACACTTGAATCAGAGCAACATACAGGTAGTATGCCTCTATCAACATCCAACACATGGCAGAGAGAAGGAAATAATGGAGAGATGCAGCAATAATCTGGGAAAATAAACCGCCAAGATATTAATGTAGGGTTATTTTTTATCTACAAATAAGTCATGAATCTCAGCAATCATAAACATACATGTAATATATAAATTTATATTAAATTCAACATGTCATAGATTGTATGTCGAAAGGTAGGAATTATACACTATTTGATGTCATTGGTACATATATTTACTGAGTTACCTTATATGTCATTCATATCTGGAATCCTATATTGTTTTTGGTTACCTTGATTCCTTTTATAATTTTGTAACTTCGATCCTGCAAACTGGTAAATATAATAGAAATTGAATGTGATTTTATTTTACCTTGCAGCCTAGTTCACTCTTCAGGGTGTATTCTTGTTGACCAACCAGAAATATCAAGTCTGTACCCGTAATTGCAAAACAAAGATTTATTAAAATCTTTCCTGGGTTGGTACTGCGTAATTTTCTGCAACAAGACAGTCGGTATGAGATTTGGATTACCGTATATGTACTTGATTGCAATTTTGTACACTGTATGTTATTAAGGTATTGATATTTTTATTCTAACTACCTGAACATACAGTATGTGATGAGTGTGAGAGTTAGACCTATAAGGGAGATGCCACAGCCCAGGTAAGACAGGTAGGTCAAGGCCCTCTTATTGGTTTCACTGATTTTTCCTCCAGCACGGTACACATCCTGAAGATAAATGTCAGGTATGATACAAACAATCAAAATACAAAACAATACATATAAAAAGGTTTTATTTTATATACTACTTTTTCTAAAATATAAATATTTTTAATATCATAATTGTTATACTAGCGAAAAGGGGCAAAACATTCACCACATACCGATTATGAAGGCTTAGAAATTTGAACAGATTTCAGAACGTACCATCAATAAGGCAAAGTTTGTGAGATGGTTACATTGACATTCCGTATATTCCCCTGGCCTGTGAACTTTGACCTTACAACCTCTGTTTGACCAAAAGCCTTTGTTACGACCCGCCTCAAGAAAATATCCACAAGTTGCTGTTGCATTCTCTTTGGTCTAAAAGATTTACACCTTTTTATTGCCAGTAAATGAAAAAATCTTCTCAATTTTAATTAGAAACATATGGAGATAACGAACAGTGTTCAAGATCAAAAGTCCATACAACAATACAGAATAGGAGCAGAGCTCCAAAACATCAGAGGTGGGATCAGGTGCCATGGAGGAGTGACCCTCCCCCGCCGGAAGTCACACAAGCAAATATCTCTTACATATCTCGTCCCCAATAGAATTAGGATTATTTGTATGTTGTTTAACGTCCCTCTCGAGATATTTTCATTCATATGGAGACGCCCTCACTTGCCGGTGAAGAGCTGCAAATTCTGTCCTATACTCGATACTCAGGGCCATTGAGGAGGGAGGGATCGTTATCGTGCCAGCATCTACTGCGACATGGAACCTTGGTTTATACGGTCTCATCCAAAGGACCAGTCTCCACGTTTCACAGTGGGATTACAACCGCTATGTAAGGATCAATTCAATTTCTAACTTCGCGACTCTAGAGCTGACGCTCTTCTCACTCCGCCACGTGCGCAACTCATAGAATTATGAAAAGCAAGAATAGACCCCATGTGAAGAACCAATGAAGAACATTAAAGAAATCCAAAGGTTTGGCTTTCTTTATTACTTTATAATAAACTACAGCAAACACATTTTTAGAAAAATGATAAATTGAATGTGTTTTCTTCATCTTTTCCAAAAATATATACCAGAAATGCGTGATCTAGAATCAAATAAAAAGTTATCTGTATAAGAGGTAATGTGAGTAGAGTTTATAAAACTCATGAATGGTCACTCATATTTAATTGGTTGCCTTGTTGACCATCAAATAATATGCCATGCGATTGTAAGTCATATTTAAATTTTCTTAGATATTTCACTTTTTTGATTGAAAATAATTTTTACTGTAACACAAATATAGATGAACAGACCTTGGAGTTTTGTTGAAATCTCATTTCTATTGGATGGAGAAGTTTCTCCACCTGGACCCCGGGAACCTGTGCTGCCACAATAATGCTGTTTGGTTGAAGTCGATATACAATGCCTTCGACCGTATTGGGATCTTTTGCGTTTGAGCGTAAAGCCTTAGAATTTGAAGAAGCTAGTTCATTTATATTATACAAAATAGGAAAATCTAGCAAAATATGAAACAGAGAACAAAAGCTTACGCTAGCAAATCAAAGCATGAAAGGTTTTGTCAAAGTTAAGAATATATAAATAAACGTTTTCTACTTATAAAATATTTATAACTTAAATGTATTCCTGTGACAAATAATATATGAAGAGTTTTTTTTTTAAAATAAAAATGTTTTTATCATGAAATTCCATTTGCTACATTTGATTTATTCGAAATCTTTCTACAAATCCATTCTCACATCAGAATAAAATAGTAGTATTCAAATCTTATGTATTAAGTAATAGTAGTTTATTAAGAATGTAAAAATAATATAACTCTCGTATTGTCAAAATATTATGGAGTAAAGTACATATAAATCCTATTTCATCAAAGTATGAAAGAAAGTAATATAGATTTACTAAATTGTAATACAAGACTTAGTATATCCCGAGATAAATCAAAAATACTTAAAACAATCTATGAATGCACACTTGGAAACGTACAATCATTATGTTTTATACAATCTGGATACGACCGATGAAGTTGTTAACCCTTACCCTAAATATTTTGTCGTTTTTGAAAGCTGTCAGTGTCACCCTTGTTGGTGATGAGTTAGACGGTAGCTCAGACAACAGTTGCCTGGGAAGAATGATCCAGGATGTAGAATCCCGCTGAACGGTTCCATTCTTTGTCAATATCAGCTGGAGACAATTTAGATTTCAAGGATATATATTGAAGAAACTGTGAAATCCAACTGATTTTTTTTTTTTTTTTACATTTTCTGTCACTGATTGATAGAAAACTAGCACAATCTCTTAGATTTGATATTCTTTGATTTTAAAAAAGGGCATAAATAAAAATGAGCTCCTTACGTTTGAAAGATTAAGTTCTTCGCTAGGATGATCCAGAGATGCCAAAGATATTCCATTAAATTCTGTTCTGTTGATAGCTGTTGCCATAATACCGATGTTTGAAGCAATCTCTTTGAAATCTTCTTTTAGAATGTTCGTAGAATTTGATAATTTTTGAACAGAATCTAGCAATCTGTAACAAAGAAATTAGACTATTACTACATTCATCTCGCACCATGTAAAAAAGAAATTAGAAAATTGCTCGGTGAACTAGAGATTTTGAAAAATAAAAAAAAAAAACAATGTTCATTGAAAATGTGAGGTGCAACAAAGTTGGGTAATAAAAAAACACGTCAATAAATGAAAAACATAATTTTATGAAAACCCTTATGAAGACACCTTTCTAAATCTCTTATCTTAAAATTAAGAATAAAATAACATTTGAAGGAATGTGTGTTCTGCAAATTATTTTATAATGATGATTCATGAAAATGTACTATATTCCACTTAATGTTGAATGCCTATTTTAAAGAAAACATAAAAACGATATCGCTTGGTTTAACATAATGCCACTCCACTCCTTATTTCTATGCTTAAAATCTAGTCTAAAAATCACGCACCTGCTGGCAGACTGAAACTTCTCTTCCGAGAGATTGAGCTGTGTCTCAGTAGTATTTAGGATGTTGCTCATTATTTTTACAATATTTCTCTCTCTGTCTCTTGTAATGAAGGTACTTTGGAGTCCTTCCAGATCTTCAAGCAGAGAAACTGTTATGTTTATTTCTCTATCCGTAAATTTATCTGCCACCATAGTTTGCTTGAATAGCTGTTCAGCAATTTCATCTGCGGACTCTGAAATAACATATATCCTATACTTATGAACTCTTCGTACTGGGAAACGTTTGAAATATAAAAAAACCTTTTAATTTTTTTCATTTTTATCTACATAACCAATGTTGAATGCCAATACAGTAAAATTTGCTTTTGTGCATTCCGCCTAATTTGATATAAACTTCTAAGTACCTTTCATTTATTTAATCTGGAATATTGAAGAATAGGTCAATTTTAATGGAACCATTGGGCCTTGATTAAACAATTTTAATGTATCATAAAAAATACCTCATACACCACAGAGACACACTTCCGTTACTCACCGTCATCCACTGTACGTTTAGCGATCTCTTCCAGTGACGGCAGGCTGGCGGTGACTGTCATGAAGATTGTGCTGGGGTTGTTAGTTATTCCTTGTTTTATGGAACATTGAGTTATATTTGGAGGAGGTAACCAGCCATACTGTGTGCTGCATTTTTACGACAAATTGTTGTTCAATGTACAAATTTGAAAATATATATCTAAAGGAGTATATCATCAATTTACGGACAATTTACAATAAAAATACGGAGATAAAGAACAGTATTCAAACTTCCAATTTTATATAAGAAGCATATATCTATCGAATTAGAATACTTTAAGAACTAAGGAGAATAAAATATATAGATTTATCTAACCAATTTCGTTTGACGATAACTTTGTCCGCGCAGTAGATCTGTGCTGTATCCCCATACTGAGTGGCAGGCCAAACACCATTTATGACGTAATTTCCTGTCTCCTCTGACTCACAAACACCAGTTCCTTTAATCAAAAGAAATATACAGCATTATAGCTTTAATGTACAACATTACATCAAATGAATATTAATTATTTCATTCATTTGATGTAACAACAAAATGACAATTAAAACAGATTTATTTTTGAAAAAATGGTATAAAATAAATTTCTTGAAAATCTTAAATATTCAACATTACATCAAATGAATATCAATTATTTCTTTTGACAAAAACAATTAAATCAGATTTATTAAAAATGGCATTGGATTTCTTAAAAATCATTTTGTTTTTAAATTATAATAATAAATGATTTTTTTATCATTGATCATCTATCCTTTTTTAAGCAAAAAATAATTACCCCCGTAGTAGACACTGATGTTAACAATTGTCTGTGGAAATCCAGAATCTGTGGACAAGCCTTTCAAATATGTGTCCAATGCCATTGTAATTTCGTTTTCTTTATACTCATTTAACGTCGTACAAGAAGCTTTGAAGTAGATGGTGAGCTGTGGTGGGCTGCAAAGAATGAAGGTCGATTGTATCACCTCGTGGCGATGATGTCAGGCGTCCAAAAATGCCAACATTGCCAACATTTTGAAATTAAGTGAAATACTGTGAAAATACAAGTGATCATTTATTCTTAAAGATATCAATTTACACTTTATTTGCTGTTAGCAATATCTAACTTACCCTACTTTTTTGACTAATATATCACTATTTGAAAAGAAGCAGCTGCTCTTGCTAAAATTGGACAGAATATTGTTTTGCATCTGAAAAAAAAATCATATTGATATCCTTTCATCTGTTTGCAAATCCATATTTTATTTATTTTGATGCCGTACTGACATTCCTTATTATAAATTAGTTATAAAAATATTTAAAACCAATCTCATTACAACAATTGTTCAAAAGCAGTTTCAGATGAACTTTTTTTTCTTTCTTTAGGAATCTACTCACATTGTCTAGCGAGGCAGTTACACTCGTATTGTAACCCAGAGAGAAATATGAAGAACTTAACTCAGACATAGTCACTGGGATGTAAAACAGGATCTCTTTTGTTCTTCCTGAAACGAGTTGAATTATTATAATCAGCAAATCTAGCAACTACACAGAAGATTCAATTTCTCATTTGGAAACAAATAAAATATGATAAAATTATATTTTTGTAGACACTTCAGGAATGTTCAATTAAATCAAATAATTCATTTTTAAGAATGAAACTTACTCCCTAGTGTGTTATCATTGCAATTTTTGTCAAGGCAACAAAAATAACAATTACGTAATCCACTTGAATTGTAACAACTGTTCACGTTTTGTTTCTCTCGATTAGTACAAATTGCATCAGATGTACATCCCTTGTAAAACGAAATGCTATCATTTGCAAATTCCATCCGGGAAAAGCAAACCTTCAACAAAAAAAATGTAACAACGTATAAGAGGAAGGATACAAAATTTGTCTTGAAAGAAACAGGATTCAAATACCTTACATATATTCGCTTATCAAGTTAAGATATAAATCCTTAAATCCTTAAACCCAATTCTAGTAATACTGAGCTTCTTATCAAGAAAAAGCAGTATATTTTTGTGATGTACGAGGGCTGTTCAATAAATAATGTCCTGAACTCTATGACATACAACATACAACACAGATATTATATGACAATAAGCTTCATTTTCTCTCTTGATTGAATCTTTATGACTTGATATCAGTTCATGTGACCACTTTTTATCTCATATTTACATTTCGAGAAGCTAAAAAACAAGAGCTGTTCGAGACACTGCATTAAAAATGAATGGTAAAGAATCAGTAAACTAGAGTGAAATTAAATGCTTCATTTTAAGGCTGCTGTAAAACTTGATATAAGATCCCAAAAGAAATATTCACTGAAATTTGCGAAATTAACAGAAACCAATGCCTGTTTTATAGACACATGAGCAGGTGTATTTTAATGAACAATAATGATATAATGGGCATCAAAAATGGATACCGTCCTTGGCGACAAGGGCTTCAAACAACCAATGTTCTGTTTGCCATAATTCAACAAATTATCACTTATGATGTTTGATTGGCTTTAAAACACATAGCAAATTAAATAGGCATCAATTTAGGGGTAGTTCACACTATTTCAAAGAAACATTTGACAGTAAGAAAGCTAAGTATTCAATGGACACCCTATATATGAAAAAAAATATTGATTTGAGAATATCCAAACAATTATTTTAAAAGATCAGAAATTGTAGTTATCCATATTTGTCTGAAATGCAAACAGATAATGAAACATGAATCAATTGCTTTATAACCTTCAAAAACATTTTTACAAAAAGATTGACAAAAACAGCAAGCGTCTGAAAAGAGCAAAGAATTGCAAGAGGACAAAAACAGTTTTTATGCCATTTTCTTGAATATTTGTGGTCTTGTTGTTCAAATTCTTATTTGAGGAGGCAGTTCAATTTATGAAAAAGTCTAGAAAGCAATTTTTTTACAAAACAATTGAAAGGTTTTTGAGAAGAAGGGACTAGAATCAGGAATCAACTGTATTAAATTTCTTCACGACAGCGTCCAAATCAACACGCTATGAAGAGTTAAGGAGTTTTAGGGATGTCACCCTTTGAATTGGTTCATTTTACAAACTTGAAAAAAAAACAACACCTTTCAGAGAGAAGAAAGAATATCAGGAAATCATAAGATCTGCCATAATCCAGTACACGAAGGGCCATACTCAAAATTGAGTTCTAAAACCAATCAGAAATTGGATAAAAATGTTATGATTACGTGTTTTAATTCAAATAGAGTATTTAAGTTAAATTATTTAGACTAAATTATTGAAAAGCGTCTTTCGCTTCTTTCCAAGCACTGAGGACATTACTTATTGAACAGCCCTTGTAAATCCAATTCAATAACCTTAGAAAATTATATGGAAACAGGCAACCATACAAAAACCTCCCATTGGGGATATGTATAAAAGCATTTTTCAGAGTTTATATAAATCCTAATCGTCAAAAACCTTCCATTTACACGACAAACATGCTAGTACTCATCATTTATTCCTAAATGGAAATGACTTAATGGTTTCTAGCATAGTTGCTTTCTGTAAAACCTATTCCCCTTTTTCGTGATGCTTATCGAATGATGTTACTCCCTTACAACTCATTGAGGGAGTCCGTTTTTGTGATTCTGAGTTTGTTAATTTTCGATCTTTCAGAACTTCTCATGCAGTTTGAGGATCTTGGCGGAGTTTCAATGGTTAAAAAACTATAGTAAATTGTTTCTAAAGATTACAGAATTATGGTTCCGTAGAGGTGGAATCTAAACAGATCATTTCCAAATTTATTGCCAAATGTAAGATACGTATCATTACCGTAAAAGACTGGATTTGGTAGTATTTATAACCCTCACCTGCTCTGTAACACAGGATTGTTTAATACAGTCACTGTGGGATTTTCCCCCGCTACACTGGTAACAAGAGTGATTTCGAAACAAAGTGGAATCTGTGGATGTAAAGTAATACTTTATAACTGGAACACAATTTTTCCTTTTTTTTAGGTAGGATTTTTCTCTTGTTTCTGAGTAGATGAATTATTCAAAGTAAATTGCTTGTATATCTTATATATTTAGGTGTAAGAGATTTAAAAGACCATATTTTTCTTTCCTCATCATAATTGCACAACTTTAAATAGAAATGGTAAACTGTGTTTGAAAACTAGCAGGGACTATATTTTTGGCGGAATTGTAGCGTGTGAAAATATCTTCTTTTCTGCCTCTCAAATTTATTATAGAACATTGAATTTAGTTATAATTTTTACGCAATCAAAGACTAGACGAAATTTTTATAAGATTTATCACACATACTAGAACTATGTTGACTTTTAAATGCTTCAAATATAAGTACAGCTTTGATCTAAAAATCCATACAAAGTGTTATTTCTCTCTTAATAAACGATCAAAACTTTTAGTTCTTGTATCATTTTGTACCTTATGTGACAACTTTACTATATGTGAAAAAGAGAACAAGTTAAATATAGAAAGCATATAAAAATAACTATTATATCCTAAAAATTTAAGAAAAATAGAGGAAATTCAGATTAGCAAATATCCATTTTATTTAAGATATTTATGTCAGTTTGGTAATATCATCTTATAGGCCCTATATCGTAGTATCTTTTATTCAACAAGAGGCCCATGGGCCACATCGCTCACCTGAGCACTAAGGGTAGGAAAAAGTAGAAAATGGCTTTTTATTGTAAAATTTAAATCCAAAAGTAGTCCCATGACCAATCATGGATTTGCTATTTTTTAGAAAATGATTTTTAAAGAATTTTCCTATATATATCTTTAAAAACTTTGGTCGGCCATTTTGGCCCCGCCCTACCCCTGGGGGTCATGATTTGAACAAATTTGAATCTACACTACTTGAGCATGCTTCCATATAAATATGATGAATTATGGCTTTGTCATTCTTGAGAAGATGTTTAAAGAATTTTCCTATATATTTCTATGTAAAACTTTGGTCGGCCATTTTGGCCCCGCCCTACCCCCGGGGGTCATGATTTGAACAAACTTGAATCTACACTACCTGAACATGCTTCCATATAAATATGATGAATTATGGCTTTGTCATTCTTGAGAAGAAGATTTTCAAAGAATTTTCCTATATATTTCTATGTAAAAGTTTGGTCGGCTATTTTGGCCCCGCCCTACCCCCGGGGGTCATGATTTGAACAAACTTGAATCTACACTACCTGAGCATGCTTCCATATAAATATGATGAATTATGGCTTTGTCATTCTTGAGAAGAAGATTTTTAAAGAATTTTCCTATATATTTCTATGTAAAACTTTGGTCGGCCATTTTGGCCCCGCCCTACCCTGGGGGGTCATGATTTGAACAAACTTGAATCTACACTACCTGAACATGCTTCCATATAAATATGATGAATTATGACTTTGTCATTCTTGAGAAGAAGATTTTTAAAGAATTTTCCTATATATTTCTATGTAAAACTTTGGTCGGCCATTTTGGTACCGCCCTACCCACGGGGGTCCTGATTTGAACAAACTTGAATCTACACTACCTGAACATGCTTCCATATAAATATGATGAATTATGGCTTTGTCATTCTTGAGAAGAAGATTTTTAAAGAATTTTCCTATATATTTCTATGTAAAACTTTGGTCGGCTATTTTGGCCCTGCCCTACCCCCGGGGGTCATGATTTGAATAAATTTGAATCTACACTACCTGAACATGCTTCCATATAAATATGATGATTTATGGCTTTGTCATTCTTGAGAAGAAGATTTTCAAAGAATTTTCCTATATATTTCTATGTAAAAGTTTGGTCGGCCATTTTGGCCCCGCCCTACCCTGGGGGGTCATGATTTGAACAAACTTGAATCTACACTACCTGAGCATGCTTCCATATAAATATGATGAATTATGGCTTTGTCATTCTTGAGAAGAAGATTTTTAAAGAATTTTCCTATATATTTCTATGTAAAACTTTGGTCGGCCATTTTGGCCCCGCCCTACCCCGGGGGGTCATGATTTGAACAAACTTGAATCTACACTACCTGAACATGCTTCCATATAAATATGATGAATTATGGCTTTGCCATTCTTGAGAAGAAGATTTTTAAAGAATTTTCCTATATATTTCTATGTAAAACTTTGGTCGGCCATTTTGGCCCCGCCCTATCCTGGGGGGGTCATGATTTGAACAAAATTGAATCTACACTACCTGAGGATGTTTCCCCATAAGTTTCATCTTTCCTGGCACAGTGGTTCTTGAGAAGAAGATTTTTAAAATATGTCACTAAATTTTCATTAATTCCCAATTATCTCCCCTTGAATGAGGGCGTGGCCCTTCATTTGAACAAACTTGAATCCCCTTCACCCAAGAATACTTTGTGGCAAGTTTGGTTGAAATTGGCCCAGCGGTTCTTGAGAAGAAGTCGAAAATGTGAAAAGTTTACAGACAGACAGACAGACGGACAGACGGACAGACGGACGCCGGACAAAATGTGATCAGAAAAGCTCACTTGAGCCTTCGGCTCAGGTGAGCTAAAAAGAAAAACATTCAATCTTCTGAATTACAAGTACGGATCGCGTGATTGGAAAGAGTAATTTAATGTCCAGGAAAAAGGTAGTGACCTTGACCTGACCTTGCTTCTAATATTACACGGTCAAATTTAATCTCACTGATACCATCACTTAGTGATGTTGTCCTCTTGATTCTGTGAAAATTTCATTCATTTTTAAATACAAGAAATGTGAGAAGAATCCTAGCTTAAAGTTGAAAGAATCGATACTTAAATTTACACATATCTTTTCTTGTTTTTCTTGTATCTTTTACTCTTTTGAAGTCTATGCTGCTTGTGTTCACCTTGACATATTCCAAAATCTTTCGTCTCATTGAGAAGTGTGTTGTTGTTATTTGCGCATATAGCATCCACTACTGACACATTTTCCCTTCTAAGAATGATCCAATTGAGGAATCTTTGCATCTCACAATTACACTGTAATGGGTTACCGAACAAATACCTGAAATATATATCTAATTATTTAAATTATTTAAAGCACTTAGCTCACAAAATGATGAAATGTTCCCTTTTAAGTATAATGGCAAAGTTTCTATTTTGATAAACGAAATATCAAATTTTCGATCAGAACATAAAATAGGAGATGACGTAAATTTAATTTACTTTTTAAACAAGTGTCGTAGCAGCAGTAATTCAAATGTTATCAAATATGAGGGTTGATCCATAAGTTCGTGGAATTTCTTAATATTTCATTTATTTATAAGTGAAATTGGTTGAAAATTACAAATGAGAATAAAGACTAGGGCTGTGTATTGAGCCAAAAATTTCGATACGATATGATACAATATTTTTTAAAGCGATATGCGATATATTGGATTCTGAAACAAGTCCATCAGAAAAGGCTTCTAAATCATTTTAATGCATACATTTCATAACAATTAAGTGTTTTATTACCCATTTTAAAGTACTTGTCTCATTGTCTTTAAAAATAACACTTCAATTAAAACTTTTGATGACAGTAAAATCAACATGTTCAAAAATTTTTTTCTATGTATTTTGTAATAATTATTAAAACTTTTTTATTTCCTTAGAAATTATATAATTATTGAAGGTTTTAATTCAAAAAAGTAAAATATAATCTTTGGTGATTGAAATTCCCATCTTTTAAACAGAATTTGAAGAAAAAATGTCTGTCCGATACGTATTGGAAGTTACTTTTCGATACGATATTTTTCTTGAATATCGATACGTATCGATATATCGATATATTGATACAGCCCTAATAAAGACACTTGTTGAATATTTTAAATTAAAAAATATTTTAAATATTTGTGATGGTAACTCTATGGCAGTTGCCATAGAAACGGATGTTTGGAAATGCGGGGGACACATCAACGCGTTTATTATCATTTTAATTCTTAATACTTGAAATGAGAATTAAACCGCTCTTCGTGTTATAGAAAACGCAAATTATGTCATTATTACGATTGCTTGATCTTTTATAAACCTTTGTTTGTGTATTTTACTGGATTTTTTGTTTATTAGTTGATAATTTATTGTTCAATTTAAGGTTGTTAGACGACGTCAAATTCCGGTCAAGTCATAAGTGAAAATCCCGGGATCACTCTTCTTAAATGCGTATTTTATTGACATAGACTGAGGAAAAATGCATTTAGCCACTGGTTTTCCAGTGGCGTAAGAAAATGAAGAAAAATAGAACCTTCATGGACGTTGATTAAAGGTGTGGCCGCCTTTTTGAGGCTCTGTTTTAAGTGTTGTACCCCTTGATAAATTGAAAGCGTTAATAGACGTTGTCGACTGACGTACTGTTCATGACATTGCTACTGAAATCGGAACATCATATGAAAAGATGGGGTATTTTGAAATATGAGTAATAAATGAAAATAAATTGGTGCGAGAGCATACCCAGGCTTTTCTTGAGAAAACAAAAATGGAGAAAAGGGCAGCATTTTGAAGAATTACGTGTTCGAATTTGACATTAGGGTAGGATGATTCTATGGCGTGACGTGACATACCTAATTTGACGTTACGTCGAAGTCTCCCCCGGGTTTCACAACCATCCATTTTCAGAAAGCTCTTGTGACCTTATTGGTAATTGGAACGTGGTGAAATTTTCCAGTATTGTTGCATTATGACTCTATTTTATAAATATGCCTATTGTTTGCTTTTGTCAAATCATGATAAAATTTTAGAAAAAAATTCTACGAACTTTTGGATCAACCCTCGTACATAAAAAATGTAGAAGGCAAGATTTCAATTTGTTAATATCCTGCGAGTTAATAAATATAGTAATACTTACGCGTCTCTTAGATTATGGAGAGAATAAAATGCATCTCCAGCAATATAGCTGATATTATTTAGGCTGAGATCACTGTTCAAAATAATGAAAAGAATGTCAATTAAAAAGTGTAAAAAGTGCTTAACAAAAAGCCATTCATCTGTCTATGTACAGAAAGCTGTTTATTTCGATTATTTTAGAATGGTGATATGCTTACATTTCTCGTAAATGCACCAAGTGGTAAAAATCGTATTTGCCAACCACGGATAACTCATTTTGCGTTAAATTTCTTTGAAATAAAAACAAAAAAGTTCTGTTAGATTTCTATATGAATATTTACTCATCTTGAAGAATATTGAATTTTACTTTCTCAAAAATTAAAATATTTTTTTTTCGAAACCAGGGGAGGGGGGGGGGGGGCAGAAACATCAATTTAATGACTGATTTATAATTTTTTTTTTTTAACTAATTCATATACAGTGTATTGACATTCAAATAGAAATAGTTTCAAATAACTTCATAGGAAAAAAACATAATTTGCATTTATACATAGTTTCGAATCCCAAATTCTTATACATTACATTTTTTGCAGCTTATGAAGATGGTCAAAAGCCCAGTCGTCCAAAGTTTTTATTTTGCTGTTTATAACATTCCTGCAAGAAAAGAATAAGAATGGACATGAAATGTACAATTTAAAGAGGGCAGGCAGCTTTGTTGTTATGAACTATGAACTAAATTTTTTCAAAGTGCGTTTAATTTGGGACACACTCAACGCACTTTGAATAATTTTTTCAAAGTGCGTTAAGAATGTACATGAATATTTTTGCAATGGGGACTTTTAACGCACTTTGAAAAAAAAATATGTATAAAACAAAAACTCTATACTTAGATTTTACCATCTTCCAAAGTCAAGAGTTTCTGATCCGCTCCGCTCCACATATGAGATCTTAGTAATTGAGAGAAACAATTTCTATTAATTTTTTCTTTCCAAAAACGTTTTATTTTACATGTACTTATTTAACCTCATTTGGAACAAGGAGAACAGCCGTCTGTAGAAAATTGAAAGTGGAAACAACCCCCCCTCCCCATCAAAGGTAAGCTCCAATTTCCAATGCTTAACCATCTAGATGCAAAACATTTCTGTTGCTAAGACCCCGTTCCCTGTACCGATGTCTATGCTACACCCAAATATTATAATGTATTTGCATAACTGGTATGACGTTGAAAACTTTCAATAAATTTTTAGTTTGCATATAAAATGCATGCATACTCGAAAAATTAAGTACAGTAAAACATTTAAGAGAGAAAGAATTTTCAAAATATGAAAGAATCAAAATCGCTCACTTTCACATCCTTAAGTGACCTCATCACCAAAGAGTTATCAAAGAGTTTCAATTATTCATCATACCTAAGATTTGCAAGAATATTGACCAAGCCATACACTTTTTTTCAAAGTGCGTTAATATGGTCGATATTAACGCACTTTGAAAATAAATTTTATTTTTTCAAAGTGCGTTGATGTCGTCGTCCCAAATTTAACGCACTTTGAAAAAATTTTTCAAAGTGCGTAATTTTTTGAAGTGCGTTGTAACACTATTTAAAAATTGTCTATAATATTTGCTGATGTAATTCAGTGCTATCTCTTTAGAGTTTACTTACAGTTCTGTTAGATTCTCGGCACCAAAGAAATCTGATCGACTGATGTTTGAAACTTGATAGTCAAGTAGAGTGCTAGAAATTAGTTACAAACACAAAATACAAATCATGAAAAAGTATTGATATCATGCTTGTCATATTTCTGAAAATTAAAAAGCAAAACTCCCGTTCTGAAAATCAGCTTTAAGCATTGTAGTTTATCATATTTCTTTTCACTAGTTCTAGATATTGAATGAAAAAACTCAAAAAAGGGAACTTGATGAAGATTTTCTTATGCCAAAGAAAAGTCCTTTCAGAAAAATTCGAAGCAAACAAAAGCATTACCTTTTCTACAAAGTGGGATAGAAAAAGAATAAATATTTTTATTTAGAAGTTTAAAAGAAACATTGTGGCTATCAAGATCGTTTAAATCTTAATGATTAATAGATTGTCAGTTGCAAAACAAATATACATAAGTAATAAAAAAGACATCAGAAAATCAAACATGCTCAAATTTCTTTAAAATCTGAAACGGCGTATCTAAATCCGATCCTTTAACAATTTAGTTTCAAACGAGCTTTAACTTTTAAGCAGTACTCACATTTTAATTGCCGGAGCAGGCAGGTCTGAGGGGAAGAGTGACTTCCCCTGACCGTCACAGAATACAGAGAGACCTATATGGTCTGTGGCACATGAACATCCGCTGCTCGGCCGCTGACATGCTGTTCTAAAGAGAGAGGTTGATATCCCTCCGCGTGCGGGAAAAGTAAACCATATTAAAACAGAGATGATAAGCAAGAACGAATGGCGATTCATAGGTGAAATACCCAGTCCCGGATATAATGATGATACTTGAAACATATAAGGCATACTATGTTTTGTTTTTTTCTGATAATGGACGATGTCTCATTTTATTTGAACTGTCACTAACATAATTCTGCGTTGATAACTATATTGTGCAGATTGATGTTATTTTTTATGGATTTGTAGCATCTGCCCTTGATTTTGTGCTATTGAAGGTCTCGTTTCACCTCGTTTGTTAACGTGATACAATTTTCCAATGTACAACTGATTTTTTTCTGAAAAAAAAAGAAATATCTGTTAAACATTTTCAATTAAAACACGTCTATAGATTGCAGAAAATATAAATGCATTGTCTAAATTTTAATTTAAAAACAATTGCTTGGGCAGCCAATAAGACTTTTAATGAGTTAAAATATTAAAATTTATGCAACCAGTAGATTTGTTTTATATTATTAGATTACATATGAATTCCTTGCGTATAAATATTGAACAGTATTTGATGAGATACAATAATCGCTATCACATTAAGAACTTGCTTTACTTACATGGTGATAATTTAAACTCTAAATCCCTAATCAAAATTTAATGTAGTCATTGTTGAAGGGAAGAATTTTACTCTTTACATTATTTTTATTCTATACTTCAACATGACGGGAGTCAGGCGGAAATAATGACATATCTAACCCTAACGTATAATTAGAAGAAAAAGGAAGTAAATATACAAGCACAGGAAATCAGAAAAGAGAGACAATAACCTTTTATGTTTTTCTTGATAAGTAGATTGTCGGTTTCAAATTCAACAAAACCCATGGTTGCTTGGAAATTGGATATTTATTCACTCTTCATAGGTTGATTAAATAAGTTTAACTGAATGTTTCATAAAATCAGACAGGTCTGTTTCATATTTCTTTTTCTTTTATCAGAAAGTCATTGAGGTGAACTTACAATTTCTGGTAAATATATTATCTATCATCCACTTTGCTTGTTTATGTCTATACCATCATCATCTGACCTGGCGTGACATCTTAACCATTTAACTTAAGTGGGTCACTGTAAATAATGAGCTAAATATTATAAAGCAAATTAAATAAAATATATATATAGAAAGCAAATACCGGTCCTTTTGAGAAGTTCGTATTCATTGACGTCCCATATTGCCAAAGATGTTAGCACGAAAACATCCGTTATTGCTCAGCTGCTATGAGTGTCGAGTATGGGCAAACAATTGCAGCTCTCCACCGGCAAGTGGTGACGTCTCCATATGCGTGAAAAATCCTTAAGAGGGACGTTTAACTACAAAAAAAACCCCATTTGATTGATGATTAATTGTGTGTTGTTTAACGCCCCTCTCAAAAGTTTTCACTCTTATGAAGACGCCACCACTTGCCGGTGGAGAGCTACAAATTTTGTCCTATGCTAGGCACTCATGGCCATTGGTCTTTTTCGTATCAGCACCTACTGCGACGCTGGAGCTGGTATTTACAAGGTCTCATCCGAACGACCAGTCTTCACGTCCCAAAGTGGGATTCGAACCCGCGACTTAAGGATTGACTCCTTTCTTTGTGACCTAAGAGCAGACACTCTAACCACTGCGCCACAAGGGAGACTACATGTATTTGTATTCAATAACTTAAAAATGATTCACTTTACAAATGTTTGCAAATCAGATTAGTTTCTGAATTTTGTCAGTACTTTAGCTTATACTGTAGAAAATCTTTACGATTTATCAATAAAGCTAAAATACTTTTTAAAAATATTTCAGTGAGGGAGTTCATTTCATATGTTCCAATATTGTATAAATATTGTATTTTTTACTGACTTCCTGAGGAATATCGTATTATATGATTTTGTATGTAAAATAAAGTAGAAAAATATGAAATTTCAATCAGTACAATGTTTATAAATACTTATTTTGAAAATAAGCGAATTCTTTTCTATTTTTCATTTATAACAAACAAATCATATTTAATAAAATTTACTTACAAAATATGCAAGTATCAGCAAAGTCTCTTTTCATAATCTCATACAAACTCTAATGTAAAAGAATAGCTAACAACCCAGCTTAGAATACAAAGATTAATATACTTTTAAATAACATATTTTCGTGGGAGAAATTTTTCGAGGTTTGAGAAAAAAATAATGATATGTGGGGATTTCGTGGTTTGAGAACTGTTGAGTAGTATTGTTTTTTTTAGATTTTACATTTCGTAGTCGTCATGAATTTTCTGAGAACTGTTGAGTAGTATTGTTTTTTTTTTTTTTAGATTTTACATTTCGTAGTCGTCATGAATTTTTTGAGAACTGTTGAGTAGTATTGTTTTTTTTTTAGATTTTACATTTCGTAGTCGTCATGAATTTTTTGAGAACTGTTGAGTAGTATTGTTTTTTTAGATTTTACATTTCGTAGTCGTCATGAATTTTTTGAGAACTGTTGAGTAGTATTGTTTTTTTAGATTTTACATTTCGTAGTCGTCATGAATTTTTTGAGAACTGTTGAGTAGTATTGTTTTTTTTTTTTTTAGATTTTACATTTCGTAGTCGTCATGAATTTTTTGAGAACTGTTGAGTAGTATTGTTTTTTTTAGATTTTACATTTTGTAATCGTCATGAATTTTTTGAGAACTGTTGAGTAGTATTGTTTTTTTAGATTTTACATTTCGTAGTCGTCATGAATTTTTGAGTCTCATCATACCTCGAAAACAACAAAAATTAACGCCCACGAAAATTAGTAATTTCACAGTATTCAGACTTCTTCTATTACTCAAATTATTTCTTTTATCTCTCTTGGATAATTTTTTCCTTACAATTGTATTACATTGTCATCACCTTGTTCGACAGTTTTAGCATAATTTTAAACAACAAGGGTCATTTCCGTTTCTATATTCCTTTTTTGTTTATATTTGAGTCACAGATCGGATCTGGATACATTTTATTAGAGATTAAAGTCATTGGAGTGTATTACACTTTGTGCACAATAAGTGGTCAAAATGATGAATAATCCAAAGGAGATCAGAGAATTTTCTTTATGTTCTAGTTATATGATGGTTATAACTAGTGTATGTACTTTAATTGTCCTCAATAACTCAAATGGATTTATTTTTAATTTGAAAAATAAATCATTTACTGTTCTTCGATGTATATTGTAAACAAAACAATTAAAGTTTGGTTTCTAGGTCGTATATTAAGCCAGTTTTGCATGGGAAGCGATATATGCATCCGTTGTTATAGATTAAATATACATTTAATCATGAATAGAAACAAAGCAGATCCCAAGCAAGAATAAATCGGGATCTTTAAGTAAATTTCATTTACTTCTAGTCCCGTGTTTTCATTCCAAGTCTTTCATAATCCAAATTTTATTACAATGAATTTTCACCAATAATCTGAATAAGCAGATCAATCTGAAGACGGAAAAACATTCCCAGATAGCATGACTATGTTGGGCCAACATTTGTTAAAGGTTGTATGGTTGGTGTTGGGGGAACAACGTTGGGCCAACGTTGGACCAATGTTACCAAGTCAACCTTGTCGACCATGACGGAATTCCTTTATTGGCACAACGTTGGTCCAACGTAAGCAACTTCCATTCACTTGAGTTTCCAAGGAAGGAAGGATCCTGGTGTTGGCCCAACGTTGGACCAATGTTTGTAATACACCCTTAAAGAACGTGTATTTACAAGTTGGTAGTAGTATGTTGGCCCAACGTTGGCCCGATGTTTGTAATAGACCCTTAAAGAATGTGTCTTATCAAGATGGTAGTTGTATGTGGGCCCAACGTTGGCCCAATGTTTGTAATACACCCTTAAAGAACGTGTATTTACAAGTTGGTAGTAGTATGATGGCCCAACGTTGGCCCGATGTTTGTAATAGACCCTTAAAGAATGTGTCTTATCAAGTTAGTAGTATGTTGGCCCAACGTTGGCACAATGTTTGTAATACATCCTTAAAGAAATGGCCTTATCAAATTGGAAAGAGAATGTTTCCCCAACGTTGGTCCAACGTAAACAACTTCCATTCACTTTAGTTTCCAAGGAAGGAAGGATCCTGGTGTTGGCCCAACGTTGGACCAATGTTTGTAATATACCCTTAAAGAACGTGTATTTACAAGTTGGTAGTAGTATGTTGGCCCAACGTTGGCCCGATGTTTGTAATAGACCCTTAAAGAATGTGTCTTATCAAGTTGGTAGTTGTATGTGGGCCCGACGTTGGCCCAATGTTTGTAATACACCCTTAAAGAAAGTGCCTTATCAAGTTGAAATAGTATGTTGGACCAACGTTGGCCTGATGTTTCTAATACACCCTTAAAGAAAATGTCTTATCAAGTTGGTAGTATTATGTTGGCTCAACGTTGGCACAATGTTTGTAATACACACAAGTGTTATTTTGTTTAGGAGTTTTAAAGATGGGATATTTATATTGGGTCAACGTTGGTCCAATTATTATACTGCCAGCTAATTGATGGTGTTAATTTTATAATTAGCTGCTGAGCTTTACGTTGGGACAACGTTGGCACATTCTGAAATTAGTAAGAGGACTCTCTTTGTCCATGCTTATCATTGGATGCCTGCTTTTGTTTAGATATATTTCCAACATTTTAACTTTGCACTTAAGTGATCAGAGCACCAAAGAGTGTTTTATTCTATTTTTTTAAATTGCGTTTATGCTTATTTATTTGTAATAATTCCCAGATTGCAGAACATCGTTGGCCCAATCTTACACTATGGTTCTATTTTCTATGTTGGGTTACCTTGATTGGGCCAACAATGGCCCAACATGGAATATTGATAGCTGATTATGTATAATGGTGTGCTAATGTTGGGATAACTGTTGGCATTATATCATAAAACTATTATCATGAGAGAAAATGTTTGTTTTGGGATTGGCATCGGCCCTACGTTGGCCCAATATACCATGAATCTGACTGAGCATCATGGGTAGACAACAACCGGGCTACTTGTAATATCCGCGCCATTTTTAATCTGACACGAGCGAGCGCAATGAGACTGATACCTTGCATATCTGCATCCACTTTGTAAGTATTTATAATATGTCTGCCTCGGCACAGCTGAATTAACGTTTAGTTTTTAAACGATATCATGTACAAATCTGTATAAATTAGGCACGGGGAAGTGCAGAGGCCAGGTGCTGTTTGGTCAACACTGTACCCCAGATAGCATGCTAACATTGGGCAAACGTTGGGCCAATGTAATCGGTAACATCGGGCCAATGTTGGCAAATGACATTGACCCAATTTAAGTTTTCTCATCGGCCCAATGTTAGCCCGATATGTTGGGCCAACGTTGGTCCAATATAGAGTGTTATTTCTACAGATATTGGCCCAACGTTGCGCCAACATTGGCCCAATGAATGCGACATTGTTGGCGAAACGTCAACAAGAACATTGGGCCGATGTTGGCAACTGACGTTGGCCCAGTGTCATTTTGCTCCTTGGCCCAATGTTGGCCCGATATATTGGACCAAAATTGGGCCAACGTGTATAAACATTTAATTGTTACAAATCTGTATAATAACAAATCTGATCGTCTCTACAATCAGAAATAAATCTACAACCAATCCTACTTGAAAATACAAGCTAGCTAAAATAAATCTAAAATTCTTATAATTTTTCAAAACAAAATAAATTATCAGTGATTAAATTTTTTGTTTCTATACAAGAAAAATAAATGAAAGTAAAATAACAAACGTGTTTTGATACAGTTAAAACAATCAATAATTTGCCCCTTATTTAGATTGAAATTTGTGTCTAGTAGAATGCATTTCAGAAGTCTACCACTTAATTTACTTATATACACTTAACGTCGAGTACATGATCAAACATTTTGAAAATGTTGAACTTGTTGAAGTTTAAACAAAATTAATTCAGTACTAAACATAAATTGGGTTCTTTCATTTTAAAATTTGTTCAGTGTAACGACAAATTTTCAATACATGTATTTTATATATGGGGCAACATTGAATCAAAATCATTGTGATGATAATGATGATCAAGCGTAGAAATGTTATGCATAAATGCCTTCATCACGCAAGACAATCACTTAATCACACCATGAAATAAAAAAAAGACGGTTATTACTTGATTGACAGCTTAAACATATAGTGATATACTTGTAAATTTAATCGTATTTTTACTCTTTACTGAAAAAGTAACAATGTATTAAGTACCAAATACTACAATTTTAGTGCTACTGGAGATTCTAAAAAGACATTGAGAACACAATCAAAGAATAGCCAAGGTATGCCATTGACAGGGATGGGGAGGAAGAAACGGACAGAGAAGAAAAGAAGGGGGAGGAGGAGACTCGGGAGATAGAAGAAAAGACTTAGGAGAGGGATCAGATGGAAAGTGTCAGTGCCTAACCTTTTTTCTGTAATATAGTGTGACATACCTATAGTTCTACCCTTTTCTGTGTCTGTTTGTCGGTTACAAACACGATGCAGATGCCAGAAACATTTTTGTGTAAGTAATCAAAATGACGGGATTCATTTTAGTATTATTTTAAGAACAGGGGGGTTGATTATTTGTTAGACGTGCTTAATGATACCTGTAATTTACTTAACTTGGGCATAAATTTACAGCAGAGAGGGAGTATACAGTCATGTAACCCTACATGTATCTCTTGAAGTGAGCACCAACTTTTAGTTCTTTATTCATTTTTCTACATGCAATGAGCAATAAAATCATAGTATGTTATAATTTAATTTTATATTTTGATTTCATTTTCCCCAGTTTTTTAATTAATGTAGAGCTACTTACAATGCAATACTTGTTGATGGCAATTCTATGAGATATTGAGAATATGTTTTAAACTACTAATCTAGCATATATAGCATATATAGATAGTATTAAAGGACTTTTACCATTAAACTGTACTACAAAACTAGTACAACCTTATTGTATATATCTGTTTGTCAATTTTGAGGACAAATGGCCAGCAGTGAAGAGCAAATGAGTTGTCATGATGGAGAGCCAATAAGATACAAACCAACGTTGGCCCAAAAATGATGTTTTCCTAATATTGAAAGAATAAGTGGGCCAACAATGGCTCAATAATATCCGTTCGTTGGTACAACAATAAGCAAGCAAGTTGGTCTGATTAAGGGCCGATGAGCAAATTACCGTTGGCCCAACATTAATTGCTTACAATGGCCCAACTGTACAAAAATGACGTTTGCCCAATTTTGAGGACAAATGGCCAGCAGTGAAGAGCAAATGAGTTGTCATGATGGAGAGCCAATAAGATACAAACCAACGTTGGCCCAAAAATGATGTTTTCCTAATATTGAAAGAATAAGTTGGCCAACAATGGCTCAATAATATCCGTTCGTTGGTACAACAATAAGCAAACAAGTTGGTCTGATTAAGGGCCGATGAGCAAATTACCGTTGGCCCAACATTAATTGCTTACAATGGCCCAACTGTACAAAAATGACGTTCGCCCAAAATTGAAAAAATACATTGGCCCAACAGTGGTCCAATATTAACTGTTACATTGGCCCAACAATAAGCCAACAAGTTGGTTTGATTAAGGGCCGATGAGCAAATTACCGTTGGCCCAACATTAATTGCTTACAATGGCCCAACTGTACAAAAATGACGTTCGCCCAAAATTGAAAAAATACATTGGCCCAACAGTGGTCCAATATTAACTGTTACATTGGCCCAACAATAAGCCAATAAGTTGGTTTGATTAAGGGCCGATGAGCAAATTACCGTTGGCCCAACATTAATTGCTTACAATGGCCCAATTGTACAAAAATGATGTTTGCCCAATATTGAAATAATACATTGGCCCAACAGTGGTCCAATATTAACTGTTTCATTGGCCCAACAATAAGCCAACAAGTTGGTTTGATTAAGGGCCGATGAGCAAATTACCGATGGCCCAATGTTGAATGCAAACGGTGGCCCAACATAAGGAGCATTGTTGGCCCAACAAAGGTCCAATAACATTCTGCTATCTGGGATTAAACTATTATTCAATACATAATATTGATATTTAACCAGTACACAGAGGTTTCCTTCGCCCTGCTTTATTTTCGCCCTTACACAAGGGCAAAAAAATTTGCCCTAACTTAAATTCGCTCAATCCCTCTTTTGTTTCAGAAATTATACTATATTCTTTGAATATGTCCCGTTTTTAATTCGCCCAAACGAGTGTAGAGCCAAAGTGGCGAAAATAAAAAGGGAGCAAAAATTTCCCTGTATCCAGTATTTTGAAAATGATATAATTATTCCATGTCTCTTTAATATCTAAAATGTACTTGTTCCCTTTAGTTTGGCTAGATAATTTTTAAACTATTTCCCTTTATGTAAGTCAATCTAATGGAATCTCTAGAAGTTTATCCTTAATCTGATAGATACTAACCTTTTGATATACACATATTTCGCATAAATCACACAGTATTCGTGAACTTTTAGTTAAACACGAAACACGAACTCAATAAATTTTGTTATCTTAAGAAAAAAGTCAAAAAGATTAGGCATTTGAGTATTATTTTATTCAATCTTAAATGATTTTAAATATTTTTATTAAAATCAAAACAACTTGTTTCTGCACAGTTTAACTAAAAATCATTTTCCATAAATTGAACGTGTAGCAGATAACAGCAAAACATATACAAGAAACCTTCTGTATAATTGACATGAAAATAATTATAGAAGTATACAATGCTATACTGTTAGAAATTAACGTGATTGTTAAACATAATATACATGTTCAAAGCTTTTTGATGAAATAAGTTTTCCTATAGTAGCAGTAACCGAGATCTGTATAAAGCAACCTGTTGGTTGATTGTTGTTTAATGATTGTTCTTATTGTTGTTAAGTTATTGTTGTTTGTTGATTGGTATATTTTGTCAAATAGATGATCCAGAATAGGATGGGAAATCTTTCGCACGACTTTTGCTGGAAATACCATTAGCAGACTTCTCTGTAATACATAAATAACTGGTGATAATTCCGATATACATTTATATCCAGATATTATTTTACTTTATTGCAATGCTACGTATTTATTTAAAAAAGTCACAATATGATTAAGGTTTGATTTTTGTTTTTAATTAAGCAAATCTATCTTTGAAATCAGTAATGCCTTCAGGTACATATGAATTAATGTATAAAGCTAACAACATACCTCTGTGTTTGACGTCTGTATTAATATCTGAGAAGGAGGCTGTAGATTTAGACATGTTGTCTTGCCCATTGCTGGAATAACCTGTCAAATATTTTAATTAAATATATAGATATCTTATAGGTCAATATCGAAAATATTGAAGATATTCTGAAAGAAAGATCTATTTGCAGAATATTACATCAAATGTATATTTACATCTCCTAACGAATCTTTAATTTTTTTTATACGTGTTTCTGTATCTAGGTAAAATCATATTTAAAATACAGTTAAACCTGTTTCAAGATTCATAGTGCGCAGATTAATATATTTATGTTAATGATATAAAAAAATCAAATCATCACATCTGGTATAATTGTCAGTGTACGTTAATTCAAAAAGGAATGACAACTGAGTCAGAATCATTTAACGTTTTTGAAATTTTGGAAAGTAAGTATTAATTGTGCCCACACATAACTGAAGCAAAATATTATTGGGGAAGGAATAGCTATTATAGTCAATAAATTGTAATTTTTGCTAAAGGAATAAATAATTTATAAAGTTTGTATATTATTTTTTCTCAGTCGAAACTTATGAGTCACAATTAATCTGCTGAATAGTCAAATACAAAAGAAAAAAAAAACTTTGTTCAACCTTTTTTTTAACTGTTCATGTAGGCAGCAAATCAATATTCTGACAAATTATGCATATTGCAAACTCCATTCTTTGTTGCTAGACATAGCCATACTTTTAACATTTTAAGCCAAATTTTACATATTTAGAAATTTATATTACATGGATTTTACAAGATATTAGTGTATCAAGTTGAAAGGTATAAAGTAAAATTTTAAAAATACATCTCCAAGGTTTCAGGTTAATGTCACCCTTTGACAAACAAACTCATCCAAGTGATTTGTCATTTACCTCCTGGTTTCTCTGAAGGTATTTCACCTTTTTCTTGTTTTATAAAAGAAAAGGCATGTCATGTCAAATACCAATTAAATTTACATGTCAGAAATTGAGGTTTATCTAATAATATACAGAAAGTACCTGAAAAGTACCTAAAAATTGCAAAAAAACAAGTAAAATGTTGTTTGTTTGTTTTTTTTGAATTGTGAAGGATTAAGGTCAGACGACTCGTTCCTCAAATATATCTTCTGTTTCTGTCTATATTATATAAAAAAAAATTATTTGTCATTCTCTTCTGATTTCTACATTGTTTTCAAAATGTTGTTAGATATAAGTTCACCCAAAATTGTAATATAGGCCATTCAAGAGATTACCTATAAAGGTTATATAAGAAATATGACCTTGTGGAATCTTGTCCAAATGCCTGGTAAGGTACCCTAGTTTTTTTCTGAGGAAACTTGTTCAAGTACTTTTACTTCAATGACAAAGTCTTAGGAAAATTATATATTTTTGAGGAACGCGTCGTCTGACCATAAAATAAAGTACTAGTAATTAGTATTTATCTTCAGATTTGTAATTAGGGAGGACAGTATATTTGTCTTGTTTTACGATATCTGAATGAAATATAATTGGTATAATAAACAAACATGTTTTGGTGTATATACCTTTGGATGTTTTTGAATCCTTGTCCTTGTCTCCGGCACAACAAGCCCTCTTCCACGCCTTCTGGGCATCAGTTTTCAGCAAACAATGAAACACAAAGATAAACAATCCCTGTAGAGAGTTAAATATTGTAAATAAATATTGAAAAACTGGTGCCCCTCCATCGATGGCCAGAATTGCAAACACCCACGTCAATCCCAACATAATCACTAAAGTAACAGCTCCGCGCAAGCGCGATGAGGTTTTGGTGGAATCAGTCTTGTTAAGATTCTTTGTTGCTGCTCCTAAGAGCTGGCGAAGAACCATGGCGAACACAATGAAATTAATAATCATAATGATTGCAACAGGTGCGAGAAAAGCTGCGTAAAATGGAATGGGATTCAGCCAACATCTGGTAAAAAGAAGAATATGGTGAATTTTTAAGGGCTAAAACTGGATAAGTAAAATCTTTGATATCGTAACCAACGTTTTTTTTTTAAGTTCTTGATGCTTACATTCCTCCTTTCTGATTGCCGTAGTTATCAGTTGTATTCACTCCAAGTGTTATGGCAACAATGAGCAAAGGTATACCTAAATAATCGTAATAGAGTTCGATGAAACATGCTTTAAACAGTAAATTTTCTCATTTCATTTGAAAAATATTTCAAAAGGTACATGTATGACATGCTTTAAAAAGTAAATTTTCTCATTTCATTTGAAAAATATTTCAAAAGGTACATGTATGAAATTTTCAGGTATCTTAATTGTTAATGGCAGAAAACACTTACCCCATCCAACTGCCACGCTTTTCAGAATGAATAATGATATGTGTGAATTAAAAACTCTGATGAGAGCTATGTACATGTAATATGCCTCTACTAGCATCCAACACATGGCGGATAGGAGGAAAAAATGAAGGGAGGCTGCTACAATCTGGAAAAGAAAAATGATATCAATGTACAACCGACTTAGCTCTACAACTTCAAACTCATCGCAGCGGAAAAACGAGATGAGGAGAGGCAATAATCTTTAGAAAAAAACAATGTTATATATTTTAAAGAATACCACCTTTGATAATTTACAATTTATTTGTCATAATAAAGTATATTACCACTATCTGGTTTTAATGAGTACTTACTTTGCATCCTATTTCATTCTTTAGAGTATATTCTTGTTGACCAGCCAGAAATATAAGGTCCGTGGCAGCAATAGCGATACAAAGGTTAATTAAAATCTTTGCTGGATTATGGCTGCGTAGTTTTCTGAAAAGAATTAAATTTTTCCAATGATCATTATTAAATAGGTGTTTCTTTCAATAAATATGTTTGTGTGGAGAATTTTTATTTACTTAACACGTATATAATTTTTCTTTCAATAGATTCTTTCAATAAATATGTTTGTAAGAATTTTTATTTACTCAACAATATAATTTTTCTTTCATAGATATGTATGCATGACGTACTTTATCTGTTTGGCACATTTTTTTCTTATATAATATAATATAATATAATATAATATAATATAATAATTTCTTTCAATATATTTATATATATGTATGTCGTGATGTCATTTGAGTTGCACGTTGGCTCATTTTTTCCTGTACCTGAACATGAAGTACGTGATAAGTGTCAGGATGAGGCCTAGGAGGGAGATACCACATCCCAGGTATGACAGGTAGGTCAAGGCCATCTTATTGGCCTCACTTAGATCTCCTCCCACACTATATACATCCTGCAAAATTAATTAATAAACATATATGTATTTGTACAAAATAATTCAAATAGAAACAACTCTTAAAGACTGGAATGTACTTATATTTATTCAATTTATATTACCCCGATAAAAATAAACTAATGGCAATAAATTCTGCAAAAATAAAAAAGAATGTAAAAATGGGTACTTGTAAAATTTACCATCAACAAGGCGAAGTTAGTGAGATGATCACATTGACACTCTGTATACTCCCCTGGCTTGTGAACTTCGACCTTACACCCTTCACTTGACCAGTGACCTTTGTTAGGTCCCACCTCAATAAAATAACCACAGGTGGCATTCTCTGCTGTCTAAAAGAATCAGTTTAAATCAAATGAAAAGTTTATATCAAAGGTTAGAAAGGTAAAGATATTCATAATCGCTTTCATGATTATTCCATGTGTTACTCTGAAGACTTAGTATGACCTATAGGATAAAGTAAAAAAAATAATTGAAAATTTAGAAAGATTATGCGCTAAGTAAATTTATAATAAATAAACAAATCTATTTTAGCTAACAAACTACTCAGAATTTTTACATTGAAAATAGTATTCAGATAATTGTGTTTTCAAAGTAAACAAAAAAAATTTTGTCAGATGTTTTAAGAAGAGAGTGTATCATAAGAAATAAAATATTGAATACATATCTAAGTATTTAGTATATTTCGAAACATTCTGTAACAGTGTTAATTTAATATGCAGGGAGATAAAGAAAATAAGTGTGGTTTTAGAAGTGCATTAAGAAGAAAACAAGATGGTGAATGATTTAGAACAAGTTAGAAAAGATAAAAGAGCATAATATAATAAAGAAAGAATAATAATTTGGCAGAAAAGTCAAGTAAGTAGAAATCTAAAAATGTGACCAATCATTACCGATGAATCCGTGATTTCGTTTTTGACCTTCACAAAAAAGGATAGAAAATAAATTATCAACTAACAAAGGTCGTTTAATATAATTTTTTCTTAATTTGTTTTACTTTATGGATTGAAAATTAGTTAAATACCATATATATTTGACAAACCTTGATGTTTTGTTGGAATCGCATTTCTATGGGTGTGTCAAGGTTGTCCACTTTGACGTTGGGTATTTGTGCTGAGAGAATAACACTGTTAGACTCACTTCTCAATATAATTTCATCATCATCATCGTCGTCATCTGGTTTAGAAGTCGATCGAATGGCCTACACACAAAAAACCAAAATAATGAAAAAACAATATAATATTTCATTAATAGGCCATAAATAATGTCACAATTTGTAAAGTCCTATGTTCATAAGCTAATTAAAGATAAGAATTATTATTATGAGAAAGAAACATTTGTGCTGAAATAAAGAAAAAAGACTTATTTACTCTAAACATTTTGTCGTTTTTGAAGGCTGCTAGGGTGACTCTTGCTGGTGCAGAAGAAGACGGTAGTTCTGACATGAGTTGTCTGGGAAGGTGTATCCAGGAGGCCGATTGGGCCGGAATCGTTCCATCCTTTATCAGAACCAGCTAAAACAATAAATAAACAAACGTATGTCAATTATTCTGTAATTGGTTCTCGCATTCGTTATTTTTGGATCATCTCATTTAATATATTAACTTAAATATTGAAAAATTGATTGACAAGAAATCAGAGGTTACGTTTGTTTCGTCCAGTTCACTGCTGGGATGAGCCAGTGAAGCCAGCACTATGCCGTTATAGTTTGCTCTACTGGTGGACGCCGCTATTATCCCAATGTTGGATTCAACCTGTTTGAAATCCCCCTTACTTAAGCTTGTAGATGAAGACAGCTTCTGAATGGACCCTAGTAATCTGGAGTTAAAATAAAAAGTTTATATGACTATTACAAGAAATCACAATTAATTTTTGTTGATAACCATGTTGCAATATAATATTTGATTATATATTAAGTGATATACATTCTTTTATATTATTTCTATGTACATTACAAAACCAAGTCCACTGGATTCTCTTAATTAAATATAACATTTTGATAAATATTATGATCAGATTCTAGTAGTATTCTTAAAGACAGAAGCTGGCGGTTTTTTCTAAATGTAAGAGGGGAAGTAAGTTAGTTAATCATGAGAAATATTAAAAATATTACAAAAACGTACTTATAATTTATTTAAAGAATTTCAATCCTGAATTTATCAAACATAAAAAGAATTGATCGGCCAAATGCACTAGCAAATATTGTTTTGAACATTTCAATTTCAATATGATGGTAAAGGATGATAAGCAAAATATGACATAGAGGTAATAAAATACGTAAAACAAAAAAGGAAAAAAAACAATTCGAGGTAAATAAATATCTTTAATTGAAATAGTAAACATGACTCCTTGACATTTCTGGATAGAAGTAACCATATGCTGCCTGCAGCACAACAACAAGTGCTTGATGTTTTATTAGAATATGATCTCTTGACCTTTTTAATTGTTCATTCTGTACCTGCTAGCAGATTGAAATTTCTTTTCCGCCAGACTGAATTCTGTCTCCCGTACATTCATGATGTGACTCATAACGCCCACAATATTCTTCTCTCTGTTGTCAGCGGTATACGTGCTCTGTAAACTCTCTAGTTTTTCTAGGAGAGAGACCGTCATGTTGATGTCTCTATCCGTAAACTCAGGGGCCCTCTCTGTTTGAAGGTACAGCTGCTCGGCAATTTCATCAGCCGAATCTAAAAACATACAAAGAAGGAAATGGAGATAACGAATAGTATTCAGTCTCAAGGAATACTAGTTTTTCAATGTTATGGATAGGTTTTAACTTTAAGCCACTTTTCAAGAATATAGTTCACATGTGCAGGGACGTTTTACTTTAGGAAACGTAAAATAAAGATCTTGCAAATTGAAGGAGTTTATAGTTTGCCCAATAATAAGATCGTGAATTAAATATAAGAGTATCAATATAGGGTAACTCTCATTGCTTAACCTCTTTGTGACAAAAGCAATATAAAGGTATAATTGAGATCTACTCACTATCATCCACAGTACGAGTGGAGAGCTCTTCTAGAGAAGCGGTGGTTGTGGTGGGGGCAAGGGTTGTGGTGATCGGTGGTTGTGTTACGGAACATAACGGCGGGGGAGCCCAGCCCTCAGTCTCGGAGCTGGAATGTAATGTTAATCCTGTAAAATCACATATTTTTGTAGGGGTAAAATTTTTCGATATTTGGGGAGAAAATTTTGGTTTGTTGAGATTTGATTTCGTTGTTTGAAAAGGTTTAGTAGTAGTGTGTATGAAATTTTTAATTTCGTGGTGGTCATACTTTCGTGGGTCTCTACGTGCCTCGAAAGCAACGAAAATTAACACTAAGATATAATATTAAAACATATTGAGATCTGGGCTAAAACATTTAAAAAAAAGAATAATGTGTTATCTTACCACATCCTTCTGACAAGGATGTTGTCTGCACAGTAAAGCTGAGCCACCTCTCCATACTTAGTAGCAGGCCAAACTCCCTGTCTGGGGTAATTAGTCGTATTCTCCGCCTCACAGTAACCTAGTCATTACAATGTTTGACATATTACTTCGGTGAAGTTATTATATAGGCTTTAAGACGAAATGGAAAAAAAAAACTAAAGTTCACACATACCTGTATAATAAATGTCGACTTTAAGGATTTTTAACGCTGAAAGTGAAGGGATGGACTTTAGGAACTTTTCAAGTACATACTGTATGTCTGTCTTTTTGTACTCCCTCAAAGTCGTACAGATAGCCTTGAAATATATTGTGAATTCGGGTGGACTGTAAAAACGTGGGTAAAGGTAACATTTAATATATAATTTGTTTAATGAAAGATATGGAGATTTTACCTTATATGAATTTTTCTTCGATGGGTTATGACAGAAAAACTTACCCTGAGTGTTGTACTGTGACATCATCAGCAGCAAAGGAGCAATTGCTCTCGAGAAAATTTGTGAGAATATTGTATCGCATCTGAAAAAATTAGTTTGTAATTTTTTTTTTCCTACAGCATTTCATTTTATTCATTAATAAAGTAAATATATTTTCTGTAATAAATACGAGTGATTACGACGGCGTATTCGTGCCATTTTAACAATGTAGAATTTTTTTTTAAAATCGTTTGTACGATTTATTAAATCGTACAAACGATTTTAAAAAATATTTCTACATTGTTAAAATGACACGAATACGCCGTCGTAAGTGATATATAAAACAGTGAAAAAAAAATCTTGATTCATAAGATTAAAGTATCAAAAATATATTTAAACAGACAAAAGAAGACCAGATAAATAAATTTATATTTTTTAAAAATAATTTCACCATTTCAGTGTCTTTTACTTACAATATTTAGTGTTCCAAAGACAGTATTATTATAATTCTGGGAAAGATAGGGATAGGTTAGCTCAGGCATCGTAATTGGAATGTAAAAGTGAACTTCTTTTGTCCTTCCTGAAAAAAAAACAGTATTACTCGATTTATAATAAGGTCATTTAGTTGACCTTCAGAATGAATTGCTATCCATTGTACGTCAGACATGGGTCTTATACATTTTAACTTGAATGCCTCTGCTAATTCCATCCAATTTTAATTGAAAACATCTCTGAATGTGGCTAATTAATGAGCAAAAATGCTTCTACTAAGCTTGAGAAAATCATGGCGTTGAAAATAATACTTAACAGAACATTTAATATAAATACACATATTTTGCTTGCAAATATGAATGCTGATTTACAACGTATCCTTTAATTTACCAACGGTTCAATCCTGATTTGCAAAAACTTAAATGTACAAATGGTTGTAATTTTATTTCATTGAGCGAAGTAACATGAATTTAAAGTTTAAATTCAGCAATTATAATATCTGCAGATTTAATCAAAAATATATCAGTTTAATTCTTTTTCATATTGGAGATGAAGCGAGAAAGACGAAAAGAATGGGAGAGAGAGAGAGATAAATACTAACGTCCCAGAGATTTTCCATTACACTTGTTGTCAAGACAACAGAAATAACAACTTCGAGAGCCATCTGTGTTGTAGCAACTGTTTACATTCTGTTTCTCTCGGTTAGCACAATCTGTGTCTACAGTACATCCTTTGTAGATATATACTTTATTATTTACATAATTGATCTGGGAAAAACAAGCCTGAAATAAATAAAAACATACAAATTAATGATAAGATCATTATTAAAAAGATATCCTAAACAAAATGGTGACCCCATATGCGGTTGACTTTGACCTTTTTAAATCAAATTTAAATGGAAACTAAATACATAGAAAATATTAAGATTCAATGTTTTAGGAAGGACAATGGCTACATCTAAATCAGTAGCTACTGTGATATATAAAAAAAATCCAATGCATTTAATCACACTTTTATTGTAACGATTATGTAATTTATTAAAAACTTAATTTTTTACCTCATTTGTAGAACATAGTTGGTCCTGACAGTCATTGTGAGATAACGTACCACTACAGATATAACAATTGTGCTTGTGAAACAAAGTAGGGGCTAGAAAAGAATAGCAAAAGTTAATTTTGATTTTTAAAATATCTCTCATCTGTATCAAATTAACTAGCTGTTTAGGAAATCCATTTCTTATAATAAGTTTATTAAGCCTTTAGATTATATTTCAATCCTTTCCTTAATGTAAGATGATACAAAATCTATTGAAGTTTGTCAATACGCACATGTGCATGAACCAAAATCTTTGACATCAAAGAGGGACAAATTATTTTTGTTGGCACATCTAGCGTCCAGCAAGGCGACCTGTTGTCTTCTGATGAAACTCCATTCCTTAAATCTTTGCATCTCGCAATTACATTGTAATGGGTTATCTCTCAAATTTCTGGACCAAATAAACAATAGCAAGTAAAACATTGATTAATTGGATTTGCTTCTCAGTTATTTCCAATTTATTTTGGAGCTGACGTTATAATGATACCAAGCGTCACAAATGATATCGAACATTATTTTATTAATCAAGAAAATTGTACACTCTGTATTCTATTTTTAAAGAAATCTTATGGACGTTCTAGAAACAATGTAAAATAATTACAAAATTAAGTTTAAGAAACATAATTAAATACATTTTTTTAGAAATTAATATTGAAAGAAATATTTTACTTACAATTCCGCTAAGTTGTGAAGAGAGTAAAATGCGTCTCCGTCGATGAATCTAATGTTATTCAAGCTAAGGTTGCTGTACAAAGAAAGAAATATCACAGATTAGATTTTCATTTAATTGGCACTTAATATCGTTTAAATTTTAGTGAATTATGCAAAGTGATCATCTTACATTAAAAATTTCATTTACTTACATTTTCTTTAATCGAATCATGTGATAGAATGTATTCTTATCCACAGCGGATAGTTTATTCCTTTCTAGATTACTGTAAGATAAAAATTATAAATTGCTTTATTTATTCTTAAATTTAGTGCATATTTCTCGTACTTAAGAAAATCACTCCAATCAAAAAAAGCATGCATTTCTTTTTTTTCTAATGAAATAATGTGGGTCAGTCATACCTTATTAAAAAAGTTTTATAATGAACTAATGTTTTCAATAACAAGTGCAATTTACGACTTCATGTATCAATGTTTTACATCTGATAATATTTAGCATAAAATGCCACAAGAAAGGAGATTATTTTTAAAAAAAGTTTTAGATCAATATTTCTACTTACATTGTCTGCAATTGATAGAGATGGTCTAGGGCCCAGCCCCCTATGACTTGAATTTTACAGTTTATTATGTTTCTGAAATATAAATTAGAAAGTTTTTAATATTTTCAAACAATGTCATTCCTTAATCAATGATATATCATAACATAAAAATAAAAGAATTTATCTAATTTTATCATTAGTTATAATCTTGAAACAGATGCACACATAGAAAAGCATATGGTGTTATTATGTTCAAACGAAGTTGGGGAACATATTAATTTTTAAAAAATGTTTCTTATTATTATGTTCCCCAAAAAGTTGGGGAACATATTGTTTTTACTCTGTTTCTTATTATTATTATTTTTCTTCTTCCTGGGCACTTTTTTTCCGCGAATCCCTCGTAAACTATACATCCGACTAAGGTGAAATGTTTTTAGGGTCAAGACATGTTATGTAGATTTGCCGAACGAAGGTCATTTTGCGCGCACGTGCTTGCAAGAGCGCGCACGTGCAACACGTGAAATGACCAATATAATGAATATAGCCGTAACTTTTTCAATTTTTGATGAAATGCTTTGAAACTCAAAATATAAGGATATATATTAGTAGCATAGACAAGATGACATGGTCAAAATAGCAAGATCTCACGCGCATGCACGTGCGCTTTGCTCTGATTGGCTGAAACTAAAGTCTCTATATCTTTCTTGTTTTTTGATAAAATCCATTGAAATTTTGAACATGGTTATACATTATGAAGATCTACCGGATGATATATAAGAATTATCATGAAAGCATGCGCATGCATGCATGTGTGCTGCGATCTGATTGGCTGAAAATTTAAATGTCTATAACTTTCTTAGTTTTCAACGAAACGGGATAAAATTTAAAATGTGAATAGGTATAATGGATTCCTACATAATGGTACTATCAAAATTGAATGCACGAACATGCATTTAAGCACGTGCGCGCGCGAAATACGCAAAATGGCCAATATTTTCAAAAATCATTTAAATGTATATTATAAAGATTTTTTCAAATTTATTCTCACGATATATAGATATGTTAACTGTTAAGACAACATGCCATGATCATCTTGTATGTACATGCACGTGCGTGCGCATACAATGCGTTAAATGACATATAGTTGATATCTATCTTTTACAATTCTTTAATGAAATCCTTCGATACTGATTATATTTTTTAAAATGTCTTACAGGAATTAGACACAAAAAGGGATTTGGGGAGCGTTTGGGGAACATCTGTAACGGTCCCCGTTACAGTTAGCACTAGTTATTATTATTATTATTATTTTTCTTCTTCTTCCTGGGTACTTTTTTGTCCGGGAATGATCTTGTAAACTGTTCGTCCGAGGTAGGTAAAACCTTTTTAGGGTAATTAGACATGTTATGCAGATTTGCGGAATCAAGGTCATTTTGCGCGCACGTGCTTGCAAGAGCGCGCACGTGCAACACTTGAAATAACCAATATAATAGATATAGTCGGAACTTTTCTATTTTTTGATAAAATGCTTTGAAACTCATAATGTAAGGATACATTAGTAGTATAGACAAGATGGCATGGTCAAAATAGCAAGATCTCACGCGCATGCACGTGCGCTTTGCTCTGATTGGCTGAAACTAAAGTCTCAATATCTTTCTTGTTTCTTGTCATAATCTTTTGAAATTTTCAACATGGTCCTACATTATGAAGATCTACAGCATGATATATTGAAATTTTAATAAAAGCATGCGCATGCGCGCGTGCTGTAATCTGATTGGCTAAAACTTTAAATGGCTATATCTCCTTTGTTTTTTGACGAAATGCTTTGAAATTTAAAAAAGTTGCATTACGATATCCTAAAATATGATATAGAAAATATTCATGAAATCACGCGCATGCACGTGTGCTGCAATCTGATTGGCTGAAACTTCAAATGGCTATAACTCTCTTGTTTTTCAACCAAAAGGATGGGATTTATTTAAATATAAGGGACTCCTACAAGAAGGTGTAGTCATTATGCACGTGCTTGCACGTGCGTGCACGTGAAATGAGTAAAATAAAAAATACACTCGAATGAGTGCATTTTTTAATACTTTTGGATTGAATGCTTTGATATTATTAAAATTTTAGATAGTGTAGACAAGATAATATGGTCGTTACGCACATGAACACGCGTGCAATGCCTATTTTTTAAATATATTTTGTATTTTTCTTGGAAGACCTTGATTAAAAATTCCATAAAGTATTTCTTATTTAATAGAGATAACAGGGAATATGGCACCAAAAGGGAGTTGGGGACACATAGAAAAGCACAATTAGCACTAGTTTTGATTAGCATTGTATCTGATGTATCTGTGATACCATTTATACTGAGATATATATGTACTTACAATTCTTGTAGCATAGTAGCACCTAGAAAGTCAGACCTGGTGATGTTATATACTTGATAGCCTGATAAGGTGCTGAAAAAGTAACACATATAATGTTAATTCTTATGATTTTCTATCTGCTTAATTCTCTCTCTATCTCTTTAAATGTCTATACTGCATAGTAAGCAAACCCTTTTTGGTAATCGTTGTCAATATTAATTAATATGTAACATTTTGTGCTTGTTAATAAAAATATCATTGAGTTTGTTGTACAGAAATGGTCCGGTTGAAAACAAATTTGTATAAAGTTATAATTTGTATAACTTTTACCTGTTTGTGAGAAGATTATAAGATGTGAAAATTATAAGTTACATTTAAATACATAACATTTCTGGCCAATACCTTACTATTTAAATAATCTAGAACATACAAAAATATATTAACTTAAGTACGCTAACATATTAAATATAGCTTGAATTAAATGGAATACTGGATGAATGGTCCATAATATTTTCTATTCTTTTCTTAATTATGTTCATGCGTCATTAAAATCCAGAATGATGATTCAGATAAAGCAAATGTTTTCAAAAATGCTTCTAATATTTAAAGGAAATGTATATTGATTCTTATTTTTATACCACCAAACACTACATCTTTCATAAAGAGGAGTAGTCATTCCTTTAGCTTTCAGGAACTAAATGGTGTAATATTGGGATTTCATTCAAATTTTAACCTCAGAATCTATTGAAACAACACAAATTGGTAGGAGAGCAAACACAGGGCTCTATAAACATCCGAGGTGGGATCAGGTACCATATATAGAAGTATGAATCCTCTGTCGACCCGTCACACCTACCGTGCAAACCTTATTTAATTAATCATAGAATTGTTTCTCAGAAGCTTGCCTTGTTTTAGAAAGTGCCTGTACGTAGAACAAACTCTTACCGTGAGTTCCGAATTACCATGGAGGCATAAACTCAATTTGCGATTGATAAGTCTATTTTGCTACATATATTAGGGAAGTTATCGATAGAAATTTAGAGTTTAAGTCATTTGGTTCCTCATGTAGTTTTACATTACTGGAAACGTCATTTTTAGTAAAATGTCCAAATATGAAACAAAAGTGCCTGTCTTTGTGGTATCTTTTATTTCAAGTAAAAATGATTACAGGAATACATTGAATTTTCCAGCAGAATCCTTGACATATTCATTAATGTGACAGGTATTTCAACAAACCCTTTGAACTCGTACATGTAAATTTTACCGTCGATTCAAAGACCTTGTTAACTAGCAAATACAACGTATCATTGGGTCATACAATGTACATATCAATCGTTTTTCATTGAAATTGGCTACGGGATTGTGCCATTTACCTGGCTTATACATAGGGCTCACGGCGGGTGTGATCGATCAACAGAGGGTGATTACTCCTCCTAGGCACCTGATCCCACCTCTGAAAATTCCAGGGGTCTGTGTTTTATGCCTTATTCACAAAATTTCATAAAAATTAATCAATGTTCATTTTCTTTCTTATCTTTCTTTTTTTTCATTTTTGACATATTTTATAAATTAAGTGATATCTAATGTACATATTTATCTATAAATTTAACTTGTTTACTATTTACAAACCTTCATAACAATAAACAAAATTAAAGCACCTTTTTATTCCATCTTTAAAAAAGAACATAATATGTCAAATATCTTAATGAAATTTACATGCAATTACATTATTTACATTCACAAATTAACATCTAAATTGAAATATGGATGTACTGAATAGTGAATGAATCTCCAAAAACAATTAAATGATCACATCAGAGTCAAGTCCAAACTCCAGAACCCATGACTCAAGAGCCACATTGTAAAAAAAAAAAAGAAAAAGAATTACCCTTGCTAATTACACAATACTTTTAGTTTATCTACATTTTTATTCTGGAGAAGAAAAGAAGATATTGAAAGAATACATTTTCACTATTTTATTCCAAGAGCCCCGCCGTAATATTATACCTCCTAACCAAGGGAACATACTAGTATACCCTCATTTGGGCGGTTTTAAAACAGGGCGAATTCAAAGAATACAGTATAATCTCTTGAACAAAACTATGACTGGGCGAACTTAAAATAAGGCAAATTTGTTTGCAAGTGTGAAAGGGCTGTATAGAGTATTTCAATTTCAACTCATGCTCTTTATAAATATAACCATGCAATTGGTTAGCAATATATGTTCATTCGGGTCCTACGTGCCCTAACGCCAGAACTTAATAAGTTTGGAAAAGACATTCTTGTTCATTAGAATCTTATACTTACATACAAGGAGAGAGATAAATATATTTTTTTTAATTTTGCATTTTCACTATGTGAGCAATAGAGCCCCATACAAACTACAGATGATAGAGGACTCAAAATTGGTTGAAGATTCTTCAGCGGTTCCAGAGGAGAAGACAAACTGAAAAATGACGACGACGTCGAAATAAAAATAGATTGCAATAGGTCACCTGGGTGACTCAGGTAAAAATAATATAGCGCCATCATTTAAAACTAAATAATTTGTTTTGTGCCATGTGTGTACATTTAAATGCTTGACATATTTCTGTTTCCTTATATTTGCTTTTAAAAATTGGATTTGATGTCTGTTGTTATAAAATAATTTTACAGAAAGTTTTGGTATCATTAGATTATGAGTACCATTCCTTTCCATTCTACAAGTATTTAATTCTTTATTATCCTGAAGTTGCAGTAGGTTTAATATTTCCTTTGTTGCAGGTTAAGAATATTTTAAACTTGTATTAAGTGCATCCGGGGTTATTTATCTTTAACCCTACTAAATGGAGTTAATAATTTACTTAATTCGCCATTTGACCCACAATAAGGTGTTTGTACTAATGTCAAAGTCAACAAAGGTATTTAGTGGAAAGAATTTTAGTTTAAGTCAACAATCTATATGGAGGGTGGATTTACAATTCTAACCGAATGATTGCCCTTAAAGACTTCTATTAACATGACCTGAAAAGAAAAAAAAACTTCATGGTTTATCGGAAGAAGTTATGTCTTATTATGGATGCACATAAATAAGGCATGTCTTCATTGATATTCCACTGTGTGAAGAAAAACATTTTATAGTTTCCTTATTTGTGTATCGAGATTGTTTTGATTGAGTATTCAATTTCATTGAATTATCCAAGCAGCTGATTTGTTATCGCTCGTCCTTTCCTAATTAAAACCAAGGAATTTTAAAACCTTATATACGATGCTCGTTAACACTGCAGAAATTCAAAATTAAGAAAAAAAATCTTTATTTGTGTTTCCTCAACCGGCAACAAGGTTTAATGAGGGATGAAAAATAACCTATCTAATAGCTCAGTGTAAATAATTATACATCTCTCCCCTTTATCCCTGAGCTGTACCATCAGGGATAAGGGAACAGAATACACCCCTATCAGCCAAAGAGATAATTGTTTTCATCAATTATTTCATTCTAAATCTATTTTAAGACGACTTGCATTCAAATAGATGTAAAAATTGAAGAAAACAAATAGTAACAAATCCCAAAATAAAGTAAATATTAGAAATCCCAAAATAAAGTAAATATGTATTGATTAGATATAATAAGCACCACGTAATCAAATTGAGTATCAAAGTAATGGCATCAAACATGACAAAATACAACATGGGTAAAGGAAGCTTTTACATACAAAGTATTTATAACAAGGGTAGAAATTTGAAAATACATCTAAATTAAAGCAGGGTTTGCTGAAATCTTCGTAAAATTTTATCATTTATCAGTAACATGAATCGGTTTAAAAATTTATCGTACTCAGATCAGGTTCTTGAGTAGATAAATTGGAAGTAATTAACAGATATGCAGGCCAAATTTGAATATTTTTTTCATAAATGCTGTAAATCACTTTTTATTCGCGAGAACTTATTTTCGTGTAATTACACGAGACGGTATGCTCGCGAAAATTTCATTCTCGCAAATAATAGAATTCCTTAAGATTATATAGAACAACAAACACAATTCGTGAAAATTTTGTCTAGCTGATAAGGAGTCAATGACTATCTCGCGAAAATAAGGTGTCGCGAAAATTAAGTGATCTACAGTACGAAAAGTTATCTTTGGAAAAACTTGTAATCTTGTATGACATCAACTTAGTTTTGAGTTGGCATTACCGTCTATAGTCAGTAAGGATAAAAATATGCAACAGATGTGCTGACTATGTAGTGTCTTTATTTTCCAGTTCACTGGGGTGTACCAAGTGTACACACATGAATAAAAGTAAATATTGTTTATTGGTAAATTTTAACTTTTTTTCGGCTGTAGAAGTTTTAAATACATGTCACTTCAGAATGTTAAATAGGTCTGTTAATTAGGGAGCACAATAAGTGTCCATTAGATTTCCAACAAATTTTAGATCCCTGTCAAAAAGTTATATATAAGTTCTACGGTCTATACGATGACCTTCTCAGAAAATACATTTTTTCATTAGTATAAATCATATGTGGATACTAAAAAATTCCAAGAACTTTTGGACAATCTGAAATCACAAGATTTTACCAAAATCAACAGCTTAAAAACTTACGACTTTTTTAACTTTATATACAACCATTCCCCACGATAAATTAAAGTCCAGGTTTTTTGATATCATTGACAGCTGCTTTTTAATAAAAATGGAACTCGTAAATTTACTTTGCAAAATTATTTTGTTAAATCACATTCTGATTGCACACACAAGTACTCTGAAGTTGACATCAAAGAGATGCTTGAGTTTTTGATTGACAATATCTATGTGGTTTTTTGAGACCAGGTATTCCAACAATCTATTGGAATTCCCATGGGTACCAAATGCGCTCCGTTATTAGCGGATCTATTTTTTTATTCATATGAAGCAGAATTTGTGCAAAATCTTATGCATGAAAAGAAGAAAACACTTGCTGTGGCCTTCAACTCGACATTTAGATATATCGACGACGTATTGTCCATTAACAATGGTAATTTCCATTCCTACGTCGATACGATATATCCTGGTGAACTTGAGATAAAAGATACCACAGAGTCTGATACATCTGTTTCATACTTGGATTTTTTACTTTAAAAAGACGTTAATGGTAATCTAACAACCAAGCTATATGATAAACGTGATGACTTTGACTTTTCTATCGTCAACTTCCCTTTCTTATGCAGCAATATACCTTCATCACCTGCATATGGAGTGTCTATATCTGTTGATTCGATACGCAAGAGCTTGCTCTACGTATGAACAATTTCTAAAAGGAGGTAAATTATTGACTACCAATTGATGAGACAAGAATACCAGCAGTCTCAATTAAAGTCATTATTTCGTAAGTTCTATGGTCGATACAATGATCTTGTCAGCAAATACAATTTATCATTGAGTCAAATGCTTACTGACGTTTTCCATACTAATTGTTAGTCCATTATTTATACACTGAATTGACGACGGATTTTTCCGTTATTTCCTGATCATGACAAGGAGCACACGGCGGGTGTGACCGGTCAGCAGGGGATGCTCACTTCTCCATGGCACTTGATCCTATATACCTCTGATGTTTTGGAGGTCCGTGTTTGCTCTGCTCCTATTTTGTATTGTTTTATGGAATTTGAGATTGAATACTGTTCGTTATCTCCATATCCTTCTTCTATCATTAAGTTAAATGCTGACTGACATTGTTAGTCCATTATTTACACGCTGAATTGTCTACGGATTTTCCCTTTTTATCCCGAACATGTTAAGGCGCACACGGATGTGTGACCGGTCGGCAGGGGATGCTCACTTCTCCATGTCACCTCATCCTACTTCATCCCACCTCTGATAATCTAGAGGTCCGTGCTTGCTCTGCTCTTATTGTGTAATGTTTAATGGACTTTTGAGCTTGAATTCTGTTTGTTATCCCCATATATATGACTAGTTACGAAGTCGCTTTTATTGAAGAAACGATTTTTTTTCAAGTATAGCAAAGCCATGTGTTTTGATTTTGTTTGGTGGTTTAAAAGTTTTGATTCATAATGTTCCTAAAATTCCTCTTATTCTGGCCTTATCATTTTCAAAATAAAATTCTTTCAGGTTTAAGAAAACAAAATATGCAGTGCAAGAAAAAGTAAGTAGGAAACAGATTGCTCCAACTCTGTGTTTGTTCAAAGAACGTTTTTGACTACGATGCTGTAATTTAATAACTTACATTGTGGTAGCTTGTGAAGGTAAGTCCAGGGGAAATTCCGATTCTCCCTGGGATTTACATGATACAGACAGACCTCCCGAGGAGTCGGTAGTACATGTGCACCCGCTGTCCCTCCTCTGACACACTGTGTTTGTCAATGAGCGCGAAATCCCTCCCTCAATGGGAGGAATCCATAATACCGCCATCCACAGAACACAGAGAGTGGCCGGGGGGTTCATCGCCGGAGAATGTGAGTATTTTGTTTTTCGAGTATCACAAATAATACTTAATGATCAGCAGTAGTTACTTTTCCAGTGGAAATACTTTAATACACTTCTTTTTAGTCGAACAAATATTTCATTTTGGAATCATTATTATCACACACAAATCACTTGTAAACTTTGATTTCAATCCAGTGACGATTAGGTTTGGTGTGACTTTGTTTTAGTTGTGTTTAGGCTGTGGTTTCAGTCCTCGCTGCTCGTTGATGTGTTGGAAAAGGAGGGACCGCCAAATTAATCCTTAGATAAACAGCACTGTCCCTCTAACAGTCCTCTGTGTCTTAGGTAAACCTTATCATTACTCGCCCTGCAATAATAATAGTGTAAAACAGTCAATTAATGACTCAGTCCTCATGTAAAGCAACAGGGTCTGATATTTCAATGAAGACAAAATCTTCCACTTAAAAACATGGTTTTGTAATTACTTTTCAAGGTGGCAACTTGGATTTATTTTCATGTTTTATATCATTTTTACACTGCAAACACAAGCTTAAAATATGAAATAACAAATTATATGTTTTGTCATTGTGACGTAACAAATGTTTCTTTTAAACAATTATAAAGCGACTACTATTGTCAGAACTTGTCATACATGCAATATGTGTAGTCCTAGGGCCCTTTACCTGACAAGTCCCTGAAATTTGTGTGCACGGCGTCACGTGAGGTCAAAATTAAAAAAGTGGAAATTTTGATATAGTGAGCCGGATTTTGCATCATCGTTACTTACTTGGTCAAGAGACGAACCCTGTAGTCAGGAGTCTGTTAAGATATTTGTGACAGAGGTATAAAAGATTTTATAAGTAAATACTTTTATATTTTAAATACACTTTTAATTTAACACCTTTACTTTCTGAAGTTGCGAATGATTGAATGACAGATAATTGCATTTGGATGCACTAAGATTTAAAGCATTTTCTTTACAGAAAGAACATTTATTTTAATGTAAGAAATTTATGTGACAAAATGCAAAATGATGTTGGAAATGTTGTTTAAGAAATGAAAATATTCTGCTTAAATAGCATTTCATTAACTTTTCAGAAATAACTTTTAAGCAAATTTTCCGATTTCCTACCTGAATAAAAAGTTTAACAAATTGAACAAATACGTTAAAACCACAAATATTACAGATTGTTCTGCACCGACCATAACTTAAAATGCAAGGATATTTAATATGCGATGAAAATTAATACAACTTCATAGTAATACACGTGTACACCTTCTTACATATTTATATATTACATACTTACGTAATTATGCACATCGATTTCAAACAAAATAAACCATCAGTAACTTTCAATGCTGAATCACGTATATAAAAAGAAATTCGATATGATCCTAAAATTTACCTTCAGTTTCCCTTATTTTGTAAAAGCCCTAGGAACATACCTATGTGTGGTTGTGACGTTTGATTTCGGGCACCTGTACGTAATTTATTTTAGTTTGTGACTGGATTCCGCATCACATTTTTTGGTGGGGATGTTACCGGTACATTAACAGTAATGTCAGCCCTGTTTCTAGACAACAGTTTCACCTAACACGCTAGAAATGCTGACCATCCCCGTACAGAAGCCATATTCTTATCAGATCCGTAGATTTCTTATCTTTCGCGGGGTTGTCGTCCACTTAAACTTCGTTTAAACAATTAAATTTTACTAAAAATAAATATTATGTTTTAAACCGATGAATTTTGAAGTTCAATAAAAGACAATAAGTCAATCGAATATTCCTTATTTAATACAATTCTTTAGAACATTTTCAATAACATAAAGAAAATCAAAATTCATTTAATGGAAAATAAAATCTGCATGAATATTAAATAAACTTTTAAAAAGCAACATATTGTTTTGAGGCATATCATTCTTTTATTTTTCGAGTTTCTAATTTACATTTTTTTATATTGTATGTCAATGTACTGCCCTAATGAGGAAGGCCTCCGAAAAGTGGCTCGATTCACCGCCCACAACATAAAGAAATGATTAAAAGAAATGGACTGTAATATTTTGATTGTTTGTTAAATAAATAACTCTTACAAGAAATCTGATACATTCGCACCTTGTTCAAATGTTACGGTGCCAAACTTATTTGTCATTATTTATCTTACGTGTGGGGGTGACTTTTTTCTTCACACGCCATGGTAATTTTTTTTCAAACGTATTCTCGTAAGACGATGTATTTTTTGTTTAAAAATGCTAATGAAACCAGTTTTGAAAAGTTTATCTTTTTAAAATGCATTTTACAGATCTTGGTTAATCGTCTTACTTCAGGTCATTAAATTATAAATCCCCATAGAAAAGAATGACAATTAGTAAAATATACATTATGATTTTGCTCCTATAACTATTCCGAATGTACTTACCATAAAGAACTAGAATCACCATATGTGTCATTCCATGCTCTTATTCCGATGTAGGAAATATTAAAATCATGAACGAATTCGAATACTGAATTTTGAGGTGTCACTTCACGGCTACGATTTACAAACGTCCTCAGTGGAGCGGAACAGTCTATTGGACCGCCTCGTCATCACAATCACGAACTCTTTACTTCGGTCAAAAGGAACAAGGGGAGGAATTTCGAAACTTTCCCCGTATTGAATAGCCACCCAGTTCGTGAGAACTCCCAATTAATAAAACCCTCCTTGTGTAGCCTACTGCGTTTTACGTTTTGATTCAGTTGACCGGGTCAATTTTAGTTTTATAATATAGATCGAGTAAACCAGTGTGTATTGGAAAGAAGACTTAGATATTTTGCATTCAGTTTTTTTCCCTTTATTAAATATTTGGTTAGTTTAATTGACCGATAATTACACAAGGAAATAGTTCGAAGCTAGTAATTCTAGGACCTTAATTGGTATTTGATGTTCTTTTCCTGCACATACTGCGTTACATAAAGGGTTTCATGATCTATAATATCAGGATACAAACGTGTAGCTTTATAGTTCACAGGTGATATATAAATTTAACTATCTATAAAATCAGATCGATATTTTTAATTAATATTTTTATTTCTGAATAATGTTCTTCATTAAAAAAGAATCTATACATAAAATATTTCACACAAAATCGGTGCTTATCTATTTATCTTTACATCCTGACTTTTCATCACCATCTCCAAATCAATTTTTCATGACAATGCAAGGTAATATGATCGTAAATTAATGTAAATGCAATTGATTTTGTAAGCAAAGTTTGATGCCCTTCTCATTAAAAATACCAGATATTTCATCTTCTTTAAAGCAGGTGTTTTGAAAAGAATGACAACAAAATAAGATCTTAATTCTCTACGCTAGCTTTACCTTTTGACAAAGACGTTTCAATGGAAAATATTTACAAAACAGATAATGACGACATAACTGCGGGCTTAAGGGTCTAGAGTGGTACCATATTAGTCCAGTGGATTGTTTGTGTGCCCGCCGCAAAACTTGCCAATTATGTAAGAAAATAACACTTCATTTTTAATTTCACAATCAAAATTTATTCTAATACAGTTAAAACAAACAACTTAAATAAGACGTTTTCTCAGTGTTTTAGTTTTGTAAGTGATAGAACTTGAATCTAAAAAAAAGTCATCATAAATGAAAAAAAATGTTTTAAATGAACAATATATTCAGTAATTAATCTAATCTATAAAAAATGAAAAGTTTCAACTATTGATATGAAGATGAAACAATACAAAAAAGCAAAAACGGAATTCTGAAAACATCAGAGGTGGGATCAGGTGCCATGGCAAAGTAAGCCTCCCGGTCACCGCCATCGTTTACTCCTTGTCAAGATCGAGTAGATAGAAAATCCTAAGACAATTCAGTGAGAAAATAATGGCCTATCAATTTGTAAAAAAAAAAACGTCAGTCAGCATTCGACCTAACAATAGATTGTATCTGCTGACAATTTGTTTATATCCACCACAGGACTTGCGATATATTTGACTTTAAACGAGACTGTTTGCAACCTGGTTTTATCAATTTATTTTTAATTTATCAGTAGCTTACAATGTTAAAAAAATATTCGAACATAGAACATGCTCTTGAATATCGAATCATCTGCGAGGTGTAAACGCCTTAGGCATACATGATATTGGCCTATAAGTCATAAATTAGGCATGTGAACGATATAAAAGTTTGATTATATTATGCGTCTATCAAAAAGTTTGTCCTTTTAAGTTAACAACTTACGTCTATTTTCAAGTAAAATATCCAACGGAAATATGTGAGGATAACGAACAGTATTCAAGCTTTAAAGTCCATCAAACAATACAAAATAGAAGCAGAGAAATCAATGAGCTACAAAACATCAGAGGTGGGATCAGGTGCCGTGAAGGAGTGAGCATCCCCTGCCGACCGGTCACACCCGCCGTGTGCTCCTTGTCATAACTAGGAAATAACGGGAAAATCCGTGGTCAATTCAGTGTATAAATTTGTATATCAACAAAATTCATTTGATATATATCTATAGAAAAAGATACTATATATTTAGTAATTAAATCTAACCAATGAGAGATTAAAAGTTTGAACCATTTACATGAAGATGGACAAGGGTCCAATGAAGTAATACAAAGCAAGATCAAGCGAATAGAAAAAACCTAAGACAATTCAGTGAGAAAGTAATGGCCTATCAATTTGTTAAAAAAAAAGTCGGTCAGCTTTCGATCTAACAATAGATTGTATCTGCTGACAAGATTATTGAATCCGCCAAAGGATTTGCAAAATATTTGACTTTAAACGAGACTGAGTAGTTAATTTATCAGTAGCTTACAATGTTTAAAAAAAAATGAGATTAAATATCGTTTGAACCATACGCAGATAACATTGGTCTACAAGTACATGAATTAGGCATGTGAACGATATAAAAGTTTGATTATATTATGCCTCTATCAAAAAGTTTGTCCTTTTAACGAGACCCGATCTAGTTGAAAATTACGAAAACGGAATGATAAAAAATTTTAATTCTTGGAAATATACTTGTATGTTTTATGCTTAGAAAAATTAGAATGAAATTTTGTTACCTTGCCTTTATTGTAGTTAAATGGGGGCACTGTCAAGATATGGACCATTTTTCGTGTTTTTATACACAATTACATACTAAAACTCTTCAATAAACAAAGAAATTTACAAAATAAAAAAAAATACATGATGAAATTTTTTGTTTTTCACATATATCATGCAATTTTCATTCTTCTTATAAAAAATGAAAAGAAAATTGTAGGTAACCTTTATTGCAGTGAAAAGGGGGCATGTCAAAACACAAAATTTAGATTTATTCTATCCAAATACGTATTTTATAGGTCGCAATGGGTTTACATAACACTAACAAACGATTGCAATACTGTATAAGTTTCTAAAAAATAAATAATTCTTACATTATGAAATAATTTACTCGCCATGCTTTATTTTTCTCTTAACACGCGACGTCGTTTTACGTGGAAAATAAGGGTAGAAGGGGGGGGGGGGGATAAAGGCGACAAAATTGCGATTTTCACTAATATCATGTAATATATAGAAAAATAAAATATTTCGGTGGTTCAATTTAAATGATAAATAGACTTATTTTATTTTTTTCAAACTGAAGATAATCCATGCATATTTATGTCCGCAATAAAAAGAGTGTGTATAAACACTTCAACATGTTCAAAGAGAAAGACTAAAATCGTAACTTTTAGTTGCAGTGTTTGTGTTTTTAAACTCACAAATTGAAATAAAACAGGATAAAATTAATGAATCTGTACCAAAAAATTGATCCCTCAAAATTAATAGGGTTCCAAAGTTGTTTATTAATTTAAATATTTTAAAAAAATAATAGAAATGCCACTTTCAATGCATAGTCTAGGCTACCAGGTAAGCAAGATCAGCGAAACATTTTAGAATTTGATAAATTGTGAGTTATTATGCTATATTATTGTGACGTGCCTATCAAAAAGTATGCGCAGATCAAGTCCTTTTAAGTTAACAACTAACGTCTTTTTGAAGTAAATTATACAACGGAAATATATATGGTGATGATGAACAGTATTCAAGCTCAAAAGTCCATCAAACAATACAAAATTGGAGCAGAGCAAACTTAAGGACCTCCGACAAAAAAGACGTGGGATCGGGTGCCATTGAGGAGTAAGCATTTCTTGCCAACCGGTCACGCCCGCCGTGTGCCCCTTGTCATTGTCGGGAAATAATCTAAACATCCGTCGTCAATTCAGTGTATAAAAAATAATGGACTAACAATTAGTATGAAAATCGTCAGTCAGCATTTGACTCAGGGATAAATTGTATTTGATGACAAGGTCATTGTATCAACAATAGAATTTACGAAAGTATTACTTTAAACGAGAATGTTGATGATCTTGTTTCATCAACCGAATATGAATTAGTCAGAATATATAGTATCTTTTTCTATAGGTATATATCAAATGAATTTTGTTTATATACAAGTTTATAGATACGTCATCGATATATCTAAATTTTGAATTGACGGCCACAGCAAGAGACTTCTGTTCGTATAAAAGTTATGGAATAAATTGTGATTTGTGTGAAATCAAAAACTTCTTATAAATGGGGATTTTTGATAGCCATGGGAATTCCAACAGATTATCGAAAGACGACCTCCAAAAACTACAGAGATATTGGCAATAAGAAATTTAATAGAATCTTTATAATATCAACTTCGGAGTGCATGTACTTTTGTAAATAATCAGAATGGGTTTTTTTTTTTTTACAGAATAAAGTTGCAAGAAGGATATGATGATGATGAATCATCACATTCTGTGATATTTTTACCTGAATAAAATGAAATGAAATGAAATATGGAAATAACGAACAGTATTCAATATCAAAGTCCACAAAAAATACAAAAAAGAGCAGAACAAACACTGACCTCCGAAACATCAGAGGTGGGATCAGGTGCCATGGAGGAAAAAAGACTTTTAGCAATGTTTTTTTTATTGAATATCATTTTAATTCGGAAAGAAGCTTCTATGATTTTAAAATTAATGACTGAACTCTCATTCGTCGTAGCGAATGGTCGTATAAAGTGGTGAAAAGTAGTTTTGATGTTATGAATTTTTGTAAAATTTCATGAATTCAATTTTTTTAAGGGGGTGGGGTGGGAGGTAATGAAGTATCTATTTTTTTTTATTTCATTTAAATCATCTCTCGAGTATATTATTGTAATATAAATGTTATTTATGTTGACATGCAAGTTACCAATCTTATAACAAAACATAATTTAAATATGGGTAAATTTACTTACTTACGCCTGTATCTCACATATTAGATGCAATATGCAACATAATTATGTAGACATGAGACTTATTTATGTCAACATGCAATATAATTATGTCAACATGCGACTAAATTATTTATGTCAACATGCAAGATAATTATGTCAACATGCAACTTATTTATGTCAAAATGCAAGATAATTATGTTAATAGGCAAGATATGTAAGCTAATATGCAAGTTATTATCTTTCATGTTGACAAAAATAAGTTGCATGTGAACATAAATATCCTGCATGTCTACATAATATCTCGCAAGTTAACATAAGAATCTTGCATGTTGACATAAATAAGTAGCATGTCTACATAATTAACTCTCATGTCGACATAAATATCTGTGTACATAATTAATTATAAC